AAAAAAGTGAGAAAATAAATCAGTACCGAAAATCGAATACCGATCAATATCGAATTTATTCATCAAATTAACGTGGGTAAACAAAATTTGTATCAACTTTTTTTCTTTTATAGAAAAATCAAAGACTAAATCAGTACCGAAAACCGGATATTGATTAATACTATAAATCAGAGTTAGAAAATTGTCTAAGTGCAATGACAAGTTGTTTTCATCTTGCAGGTACTTACCCCACTAATTTACTCAACAAATTATGTTGGATAAAAGAACGATTCGTATCAATTTTTATTCTCTTATAAAGAAATTAGAGAATCAGTCAGTACCGAAAATTGAATCTCGATCAATATTTAATTTATTCATCAAATTAACGCGGATAAATGCAAGATTCGTATGAATTTTTTTTTTTATAGAGAAATGAAAGAGTAAATCAGTACCGAAAATCGAATATCGATCAATACCGTAAATCAGTGTTAGAAAATTGTCCAAGTACAATGACAATTTGTTCTCATTTTTCAAGTACTTACCCCTCTAATCTTATTCAACAAATTAACTCGGATAAACGAACGATTCGTATCAATTTTTTTTGTCTTTTAAAAAAATGAGAAAGTAAATCAGTACCGAAAACCGAATATCGATTAATACCATAAATCAGTGTCAGACAATTGTCCAAGTGCAATGACAATTTGTCCTCATTTTTCAGGTACTTATCCATCTAATTTTATTCAACAAATTAACTCGGATAAACGAACGATTCGTATCAATTTGTTTGTCTTATAAAACAATGAGAAAATAAATCAGTACCGAAAATCGGAGATCGTTCAATATCTAATTTTTTCATCAAATTAACGCGGATAAATGAACAATTTGTATCGATCTTTTTTTCTTTTATAGAAAAATCAAAGACTGAATCAGTATCGAAAACCGGATATTGATTAATACTATAAATCAGCGTTAGAAAATTGTCTAAGTGCAATGACAAGTTGTTTTCATATTGCAGGTACTTACGCCATTAATTTACTCAACAAATTAAGTCGGATAAAAGAATGATTCGTATCAATTTTTATTCTCTTATAAAGAAATTAGAGAATCAGTACCGAAAATTGAAGACCGATCAATATTTAATTTATTCATCAAATTAACGCGGATGAATGAAAGAATTTTTTTTTCTTATAGAGAAATGAAAGAGTAAATCAATACCGAAAATCGAATATCGATCAATACCGTAAATCAGTGTCAGAAAATTGTCCAAGTGCAATGACAATTTGTTCTCATTTTTCAGGTACTTACCCCTCTAATCTTATTCAACAAATTAACTCGGATAAACGAACGATTCGTTCCAATTTTTTTGTCTTATAAAATAATGAGAAAATAAATCAGTACCGCAAACCGAAGACTGATCAATACCATAAATCAATGTCAGGAAAATTGTCCAAGTGCAATGACAAGTTGTTTTCATATTGCAGGTACTTACCCCACTAATTTACTCAACAAATTAAGTCGGATAAAAGAACGATTCGTATCAATTTTTATTCTCTTATAAAGAAATTAGAGAATCAGTCAGTACCGATAATTGAAGACCGATCAATATTTAATTTATTCATCAAATTAACGCGGATAAATGAACGATTCATATGAGTTTTTTTTTCTTATAGAGAAATGAAAGAGTAAATCAGTACTGAAAATCGAATATCGATCAATACCATAAATCAGTGTCAGAAAATTGTCCAAGTGCAATGACAATTTGTTCTCATTTTTCAGGCGTTTATCCCTCTAATTTACTCAACAAATTAACTCGAATAAACGAATGATTCGTATCAATTTTTCTTGTTTTATAAAGAAATTAGAGAATAAATCAGTACCGAAATTGAAGACCGATCAATACCAGAAATTAGTGTCAGAAGATTGTCCATGTGCAATGACAATTCGCTCTCAATCCCGAGTTTTTCCCGAGTCGAAATATTAATTCTACATTGATCCTGCAAATTGCATCCAATTTGAAAAATCAATGCAGAATATCTAGATGTGCAATAGTGAACAAGCTTTGTCCTACCTGAACGTCTTCATCTGGCTACTCTCGCAGTCCCGCCCATGATGAGTCTTCAACAGCGACGTATTCCGCAGTTATTTAATACTCGTTTATCTCGATAATGTATATGTACTTAATCCTTATATTCTTAATTTAAATGAGCAATTTTTGTTGATGTTGATTATATATTCGCTTGACAGCGCAAGAAAGAGACCAGAGACAAAAACGTAAATAGAACTGCCTTTGTTAAAACTGCGCGTGAAATAAATATATAAGGATTAAATAATCATATAAGAATTAGAGGAAATGGGAGATGAAAAACACTTTTAATTCTCATCATTCCTAAAGTTCTTTTTTCCTTTTTTCTTCTCTTTTTTTTTCTTTTCTTTTTTCTAATGAGAATGATGAGAATTGTAGCTCTCAAAAGAGCTGAAGCTGCAAAAAGACAACGGTTATGTCTAATAATGCTGTTTCACTAATAGAGATTTTAATTCAGATTCGGCACAATAAGAAAGATAAATAATAATGAGAAACCGACATTCTAGCAGATTCTAAACGAAAACAGCAATCTGAGCATTATTAGACGAATAAAAATCAATACTTGTAAAATTTATATCAGGTTCTAAGATCATTATTCATAGCTTTTTAAATTATGTGCAATTTTTCATTGAGAACATAATTACAAATTTGTATTCATAAACTTTAGCTTGACTCAGCAACCTTGCTTGAATAGACATTCATATTTTATAAGAAAAGAAAAGTAGAACTCATGTTCGTGAAATTAGGTTAACGAATAATCAAATATCAAGCTATTTTATCATTTTTCAGATGATAAACTATGAATGCTGATCTAATTTCGACTCGGGTATGTCCTTACTTCGAGTAAGGTCCGTTAAAATCAGAAAAATAATAATGCGTAATAATAATAACTCAAGGTACCTCGAATACCATACATAATGTATCGCTGTCCTCGGCTACGTCTCTCGGCGCGCTCCAAGTCCTCTCTCCATCCTGACTTCTCGATCCGACGTCCTCCTTCTGGTTACTCCGTCGCAGCATCCCCGGATCGTAGCACTGGCGACGACACTGACTCTAGCTCTAACACTCGCGCAAGTAAGATTCGGACAAAGAAACGCGTATTAACCGACACTCGTACTCTACGTCGCGGTATGCGCGTCGTTCGTCGGCTCGAGGCGCAATGTCCTTTCCGCAATCACCGAGTCATATATAAGCGTACGAAACCAAACAATCGCGAAGGCACGGTTACCCCCCACCTTGCCGATCAGTGTTGATGCCTGCGTCGTCCGTTAGCTGAAAATGAAAACAACTCGTGTTTTCAAAGCATGCCTGTGAGAGACTCGCTTCAAACTTCACAATACTTATTTACGTCTGTTCCAAGAATCATATTCAATTCAATTCAATTATTATAATAAAAATGCAGTCATATATGTATTAAACAAGGTTTAGTTCGATATAGTTTTTGGTGCAGCCGCGCCAAGATTTGTTGTATTTAATATTTTTTATTGCATTGTTATAATAATTAATTTGTTATAACAAGTAAAATAACCATATAACTCAGTGTTCTAATAAATAATGATAAATTTTACTTGTAAAAATTTATGTTATGGACATTTTTTGTAGCTAGGTTTTCTTGAATATTTTGAATAACACAACCTTTAAAAAGATATCTTTTTTTAAATATTGGACACTATTAACAAACGTGTTAAATTTTTATAACACGATATAATTTTTACTTTTAAAAGTTTATGTACATATATTATAAAAGCTTATGTTATGCACATAATATATATCTTAAAAAAGAAAATAATTTGAATTTGAGATTTCTAAAAATATTAAGTTAAGTATACAATAATCATATATATATATGTTAGGTTTCTCAGTTGACGCTACTGTTCTAATATATCACTTCTTTTGTACAGTAGAAAAGTGTTGCAGAGTTTTATTATAGTTATAAGTTTTACTTGTAAAAACTTATGTACACATATATACAATAAAAAAAATAATTTGAGTTTGATACTTCTAAAAATAACACAATACGTGTTGCGCTTGTACTTGGCGCCTTTTTTTACCTTTTTGTTTAAAAAGGTAAGTTTTATATAATATTAAATATACGTACGTTTCACGTATAACGTGATTGACTTGGAGTACTCCGTGGTGTTATTCATACCGACGCATTCATACTTTCCCTGATTTGTTACATCGGATTCAATAATTTGCAAGGCACCTGAAACATAAAATGTGATATTCTCGAACAGCGTTCCTCTCAGGATTTTCTTGTCCAAAGAAAGATCAATGATGCGATCGCAGATCTCGTGTATGTCATGTCAATAGAGACAGTTTGAATTCGGCATTGTCAGTGCCACGAGCGAATGTCCGGAGCGGACGGGATGCTGAATTGAGAAGCAGGACGAAGGGAACGAGACGCTGGCAACGATACATCATGCGTCTCCAGACGTATCAAATAGTTTATTATATAGGAGACTTTGATATGGCAACATGTATGTAGAGGATTTAATATTTAATATGTACTTTTATTTTTCTTGCTCCCCCCCCCCCCCCCTCTTTTTAGACCTTCGGGAATAGTCTGGCATAGAGATAGTAACTGTGGTTGCAGCACGGACATAAACCGCCTGAAAGTGGATGTAGCACGGACTTCCACCACATGTAGATTTTATCACCAAGACCTAAAAGTGGATGTAACATCGTACTTCTCCTCTCAAAATGGATGCAGATGGCGCCCATTTCCAGTGCGAAAAATCGGTGTCGCCGAAAACGCCGTGTTGGCCGCTTTCAGCTTCCTCTCTGTTGGCAACATCTGCGCGTCAAGTAACTGCACCAATCACCGTACGTTACTGTCAGCCGTTCGACCAATCCTTGCGGCCATACGAGCTATCCCGACATGCACCGCGACAGGTGGAGGAGGGAGGCTGAAATGAATCATAGCTGGTCACCTCGACGTTCTTTCCGCCGTTGGACGCCATAGTGAGCGTTTGGGAGGACGAACAGAGAGACTAGAGGGAATTCAGCGGTGGAAAACTATCGTCGCGTTCATTGTACTTAGAGCGCGTGTTTCGACGTCGGATTGAACAAACGATGGCTGGAACGGAGACATCGAATGTAAAAACGGAAACGCCGAATACTCCCGCCGAGAATAGTAATGAGAATCCACGCGAACGGAATCCACCGGGCGGCGGCGGAGGAAATCGCGGGCCTCGCGGCCGAAAAGGAGGCACGCGTTTCTCGGGCGGCCGCGGTGGCGGAATGGGTGGAGGCGGTGGCGGCGGCGGCGGCGGCGGTGGAGGTGGTGGCGGCGGCGGAGGCAGAAATAATGAAGCGGTAATTATGCACTTTAAATACTTTCGGAAGATTGATAGCAATGAAGTAGCGTAGTAGTAACGCCGCGCCATATCGGAGAGATAAAGTGCAGCTCCATTGTTAGCTGCATGTTTCGATTAGCGCATCGCGCGAGCTACATTCATATCGAATTAATGAAGTAGCGTTTTTTTCCGATATCCGCGAGCTCGGAAGAATCATGGAAGCAGATTTGTGTGTAAATATATGCGCGATGGAAGACACGTTAGAAAGAAAAGTTTACCCGCTATTTGCCGGAACTTGAGGGGAAACGTACAAGGCGGTTGTGAAAAATAATGTTCTATTGTAGATATAAACGTACAATTCCCTACTTACAATTTTTCTGATGTGGGATTAAATATGCAAATCCATGTGCCTATATGTGTTAGGTCTACGTGTCTACATAAGAGATCCATCGGAATTAGAATCGCTATATTCTCATCGCGGGTATTCTTCCGTAAATGTGCAATGTTGTTTGAAAAAAGCTCTCTTTGAGATAATGTTCGCTGTTGGACACAAACATATTGAATATTTCGCAAGATTTGAGTCATTCTTAATTCCTATTCAATGTGAGGCTAATAAATACAAGATGGCGGGCTAGCATTTAAAATGGCGCTTTATATTTCCGATTTCCTGCGTTGCATCCGTTTCTCAAAGACTACGGATACATGTATTTGTATAACAGGAAAATCAGATGTATTTCTAATAAACACTGCATTTAAATGCAACATCATTTTTATAATTATGCTAATTTATGTATCTATCAAATGATATCAATTTATAGATATGTAAGTAGGAAACTCTTGGTAGGTTTCTAAAAAATTACTATAATAAATAAAATATATAAAATAGTATGAAATCTATAGAATGATAGTAATTGAAAACAGAATACAAAGAAAACTATCGATGGCTCTGAAAGAACCAATAAGAATGAAAGGCTAGCAAAAGCCATTGTTGGATATTGAGCACAATAATTTGAATCTTAACTAAAAACAGCATTATATTATGGTTTTATAGATGAAGATAAATGATTCCATGGATGGAGGTATGGACAACCCAATGTCAGAAAGTATGGGTGGGATGGGTGGAATGGGTGGGATGGGTGGGATGGGTGGTGGCGGCGGCATGGGTGGCGGCGGCATGGGTGGTGGCGGCATGGGTGGTGGAGGCGGCATGGGTATGGGTCGTGGCGGTGGAATGCGAGGAGGTGGAAGAGGCGGACGTGGTGGTGGAGACAGAAACATGGGTGATAGAAACAGATCGCAAGATGTAAGTTTATATTTTGCATTGATTGACTAAGTTTTTATATTGTCTTGGCAAATATATAGCTGTTACTTATGTTGTATATCAATTTTAGGATCGACTGATGGAGCGTATTATGGCTATCAGTGGACCCACTCATGAGCTTCCTCCTCAAGAAATGACAGAAAAGAAATTTAGCGGCAGAAATCGTTTGTACATTGGAAACTTGACAAATGACGTAACAGAAGAAGAAATACAGACTATGTTCCGGAAATATGGAGAAATATCTGAACTGTTTGTGAATAAAGAGAAGAGTTTTGCTTTTCTCAGAATGGTAATCATAGTGTTGCAAGTTGTTGATAAACTGTTTAAAATGAACAGAGTTTTTCTATAGTAACAATACATGATTATAATAATTACCGGCTGATACATAATGATATAATTTTCTGGCTGCATTTTGTAAAATGATTACGTTGTTATTATAAAAGTATTATTCATTTTGTATATAGCAATAGCATGTAAAAACATGATAAGTTTTCTTTCTGTTTAGGATTATAGAATAAATGCAGAGAAAGCAAAGCATGAATTAGATGGTACAGTGCGCAAAGGTCGTGCATTAAAAGTACGTTTTGCTCCTCACTCATCGACAATCAAGATCAAGAATCTTACACCTTGGATATCCAATGAGCTTCTCGAGAAAGCTTTTAGTGTATTCGGCGAGGTCGAACGTGCAATAGTTATTGTTGACGATAGAGGTAAAAGCACTGGCGAAGGAGTAGTCGAATATTGCCGAAAACCGTCGGCTCAGTTAGCTCTGAGGAAATGTACAGAAGGTTGCTACTTCCTCACGGCGTAAGTTATCGGTTTTTTCCTAGAAAAAATTTTTACCAAATATTTTTCGACCAAATCCCCGACGCCACGCTTGTTTGATGAATCTTTATCTACAAGTGCCTAATAACTATTGTAGGGGAATAAAAAATTATAGTTTCATATAGGAAACATGGTTGATTGATTTTGTAATCGCTGTGTGCTGACAATTGAAACACAAAATTATTAAAAATAAAAATATTGATAGTAAAGTAAAATTCGGCAAGATAGGTTTAATTGAATATTTCTATCTTTATTATAGCTCGCTTCGGCCAGTAGTTGTGGAGCCGTTTGAGCAACAAGATGACGTAGACGGTTATCCGGATAAAAATCTACCACGCAAAAATCCAGAATTCTTTAAGGCTCGTGACATTGGGCCACGATTCGCGCAATTGGGTAGTTTTGAGCACGAATATGGTACACGATGGAAGCAATTACACGAATTGTACAAGCAAAAGGAAGAAGCGCTCAAACGAGAAATGGCGATGGAGGAAGAAAAACTTGAGGCCCAAATGGAATTTGCTAGATACGAACATGAGACGGAACTTTTGAGAGAACGTATGTATTCTAATATTTTTGTGTAAAGTGTTGTTTACAATTTTTGGCCAAATCCCCGATGCCACGCTTGTTTGATGAATTTTTATCTACAAGTGCCAAATAACTATTGTAGGGGAATAAAAAATTATAGTTTCACATAGGAAACATGGTTGATTGATTTTGTAATTGCTGTGTGCTGACAATTGAAACACAAAATTATTACAGTTTTTACAGTTATATATAAATTATCACTTTTTGCGTTGCAGAATTGCGTATGCGTGAAGCGGACCGCGAAAGGCAAAAGAGAGAATGGGAGATGAAAGAGCGACAAGCCGAAGAACAAAGAACTCGCGAAGAAGAATTAAGACGACGCCAGCAGGAGGAAATGGCGATACGCATCAGAAGACAAGAAGAGGAACTGCACAGACGTCAACAGGAAAATAATTTGTTTATGCAGGTTCGTCGAGTGATAAGATTATCTTTTTATTTAAGATAAGATTAATTTTTAAAATTTTCAATATCTGGCAATTTTCTTGGAAACTCAAATTCAATTTTGTTCAATTTTGTTTGTGACTTACACATGAATGTTTTATGTTTTAGGAACAAGCTATCCGTAGTAGTGGCGGTGGTCTCGGCGGCGGAAAAAATTACGATTCCGTTAGTAACAATGATCGTGATGGATATGGTCAACCTGACGGTAAGAAGAAAATATCTTCGAAATATCGTTGTTTTTATTAATATATTTTATATTTGTATCAATATATCGGCATATTTAAAGTGAATCTGTTAGCTATAATTATAGCAAATATCGCAATAATATTACATACTTAAACTCTGAACTTGTCACTTCACGTGCAACACGTTTTTTTATCGTGGTTTTATATCTCATATTTTGTAATAAAATATTTATGTGTGCGTGCTCTTTGTTACAGGTGGAAGCGGCATACCAGTGGTAACGTATCCCTTTCACATTCACTTCAATTTTATTTATATATCATAACATCAAGTTCTTACAATAGTTGACTTTTCTTCCTATGAATTTCTTTATCCTTTTGCGCGATACAATATCAAGATATTCTCGCGTATCTTGCACAAACTTCATTTGTTGCAACGAGTGAAATATCGCGTCGTGCATGACAAAGTGCAATTTTGTATGGCGTATAACGTTAGTTATACGAAGATTGACAAGCCTTACTATTCTCAATTGAGCATGTTCTTTAAAATAAGCAGAGTACTAATGTCTGCAACACTACAAGTTCTCTATTCTCTTATTTTTTTACTTATTTCCCGAATAAGATATGAATATTAACTTTTGATGGTTCAACATATGGAGGGATCAATGTTGTGCATATACTTAGGCGAAGAAAGACGGCACTTCAGCACGAAGTGTTGGCGACACTCTAATCGCATTTAAAATAATCTTCAACCGATATTATCGTACGAATGTGAACACCTGAAAATGTGATTACACGTAACTCTGCTACATCTATCTGATAAACATACTTCTGCTGACTGAACGTACCGAGGTACATAACTTTCGTTATGCATCTGATCTAATGATGCGTAAATGTTCAAATTTACTTGATCGACTGCTCTCCCGATGGATGCGAAATCTCTTGAGAATTTCAATAACAATGACCATAATTTAAGGATTTATGTTCATATATCACTGTACATAGCAATTGACGTGCGCAGTATAATACGATATCTAAATTTAATAGTGATATTTTGGGACAAACTATTGAATTGCTCATTGAAACATTTCTGCCGAAACTATTGAAGCCAAAGTAGCGGCGATAATAATTACAATTACCTAATTAATGTTAGTAATTAATAAATCAATCGAATACGATCAACCTACTCCAAATGACATGTTTGATCTTTACAAAGTGGCTTATATAAAGATCGTTCTCCACGCGTGACCTATAATTATATCACACATCACTGAACTCTTCATTGCTTATCTCGTGAAAAAGGTTTTAGGTCTAAAAATACAACTGCCGCGTTGGTCTCTCCATATGGTTTGCAGGCAGGAGACTCTGTAGCCTACCATTCTGTAGTAACGTTCCGATCAATTTTGTTTGCTATGGAACTCGAGTAATCATAATTTCGTACACAGCGCGCCTATGTGTATCGGTTTCCCATATTGTCTGTGATAAATTATGAACAGAAATGCATAACGAAAAGTTCGCGAGCAGTATGGTTCCATAGTGACTTGATATCTGCCGACCAAGAAATGCCCAACGAGACACTTGTCCAACTAAAAGAGCTACATCTAGGAAATGCATATGAGAAAATCTTCGAGGAAACTTAATCCTCGCGTGCGTGCAGGTACTTCCGCGCAGGCATCTCCGACCACATCAGTCTGAAATTTTGTTTATCTGTCTTGCAAAAATCTCTCTGTAGGTCTCTTAGAATACGCATTTGAAGCACACTACTCTCGGGGGGTAATTGTACACATCTTAATGTGTATACTCGCTGTAGGGATATTTTTATACATAATATTCTTACTCGCACGATACATCCCTGAAGCACGAGCATTACCGGAGAGAAGCTTGCTCAGAGACCTTGATCACGCCTCTTTGCTTGCTGTGGGTTGTGCTCGTAGCTTTAGAATTCTGCGGAAACTTGGTGAAAAAATAACAACAACGTACTGATTAAGCAACGAAAATTATCCGATGTACAAAACCTTCGTTCCGATAACTATTTCCGACTGACACGTTGAACCGGCACGTTTACCGCACGTGAAAGTGGATCAACCGTCTTCATTCTGGGACAGTATCTATTCGCATAATAATGTGCGTCTTATCGTCTTATATATATATATATATATACATACATATGTCTCTTATCGTCCGATTATTCACGAGGTTCAAACTCGTTCTCGCAAATTTTACCCGATACACCGCACAGTTATACAAGTGACTCAATCGTCGCTGTCGTGCTGTGTGCGTGATGGGGCTGACTAATAATTCTTAACGAGGGTTCTAGTTAAGCCGAAGATACTGTATACGTATATAAACGAATCTTTTTGTACTGGATTTAGGGTTATTAGAAATCAGAATCGTACTTTTGTACACAAACGATTTCTGTCCGTCACTATGCGATGTCTAAGACGAGATATAGACAGTATTTTATCTAATTTGTAGGACCTCTGGAACATACGAACGTTGCCATTATTACAAGAAAACAGCAATAATTTCCACACGATGATCAATCAATTGATCGATCCTCCTCAATCGCGCTCCAACTTTTCGGTGTAAAGCTTAGAAATCGCTGGCACAGAATACACAGTGTTGCGAACAGTTACGCTCGTCGAGCTGCACTTTCGAGGCTTACACTTCGGAGTTGAAGTCGCGATTTGGAGGAGAAATTGCACGAGAAAAAATCCTGAAGTACCGCGTAGCGAACGGTCTGATTTTTGTCTGGACACGCATAACAGGACTGCCGCCTATCTGTCTGCGTTGGGCATTTGCTTGGTCTCGTAATATTTAATCAATGTCGCCAGAACCTACCCGCTACAGAAATTACATATCGATAAGCTGTATACCCTTTGTTACTCTGGCGCGTGAATTGCGCTCACGCAGTTCACTGCCATGATCGCACACAAAACAGCAAATCTAACATTGTGTTTTCCCCTTTCTTTTCTATGTGATTTGACGAAAATTGACGATGACCTGCTGCTGTCAAACATGGATGGTCGCCCTGAACCGTACGAAAATGTACTTATGCTACATCCAAAATCTGCGAATCGCGCGTAACCAAACTCTCGACCTCCCCGTATGATTCGCGATCTTTCGTGTAATCTGTGTGTAGGATCCGAAATCCTTTATGGATGCGTACAACACTATGGACCGCGGTAATCGAGGGGGTTATAACGATGATCGCGGACAGATAATGGATTTGATGGACATGAGGGTGGACATGGGTAACATGGGTGGTAATCGTGGAGGTAGTGGTGGCAGTGGACGTTGGCAAGGAAATGACCGTAATCGCCCGGATGATTATCCTAACAAACGACGGCGATATTAAATGCGTTACAATATGGGAATCCTTCGTTAATTTCTCGATGCATACTCTGCTCGCATTGCGTCCTTATTTACTTCTCGCCTTCATCACATCATTTGACTTTCTTGATCAAAGGGAAAAAGGAGGAGGAGTAATCGAGAGAGAGAGAGAGAGGGGAGAATTAAGTATGATTTACGAATGAAATGAAACCGTATCGGACGTAGCCGATATTTATATCGAGTTATGTGTAACACGACTATGCAGAAACAAGACAGTATGCGAATTCGACGTAATCGCAATAATAAAGTTCATACATGCTGGAGTTCTTTGTCTCCTCGGATCACATTTCTCGTGTGCGTTATCGATCGCATATTGGCTCGACACTCAATTTTAACGCCATTAGTTGGTACGTTGTAGAGGAATCTGCTTCAGATTACTTACTGTTTTTATTACTTAGTCGTTTGATTGATGCCAAGCACCATCAACAAAATAGTAACAATTTAATCTATTCTGTGTTTTATTAGACGCAATCCATTGCAGTTCTACCCTTGATAAAATTCAAAGAACCGTATCGTAAAGTAAATATGAAGTTTGTCAACTATCAAGTAGAGACCCGAAAGAAGGTCTTATTTAAAGTATGTATTTGAAATAATTTATTTTAGAATCTTGAAAGATATTTTTTTCCTTACATTTTTCTTTATCGCAATTATGTCGTTTCAGTCGTTTATTCTTATAAGATTTCATTTGATTAGTTTTTCGCCGAATCTAGATTATACTTTCGCCACACTTTTATTTTGTATCTTGTCTACATGATAAAGGCAAATGCTAGTATATAAATGACAAAAGGCGCGCGTGACATGACTGAAATAAAACGTTGACGTTTGCATGTAAGATTTATATACGGATACACTTGCTTATCAATGACAACTAGTAATATCAACGTATAGATGTTTCGAATATGATGGTTGAATCATGAGAAGATACATCAAATTTTGTTAACTCCTAAATATTCACAAAGTAATTATTTTAGTAGTAAGGTATACATATACACACACGCATACACATACACACACACACATACGCACACGTACATACAAACATTAAGCACACCTGATACTATATCTGCAATTATAATATTTAATACTTTGTGAAGAATCTTAATCTTAACAGAAACATAATTTCATCAATAAAGATATATACATATATACATACATGATGCAAGCTTATATTTTAGATACTGATATATATTTATATATATTATATTATATATACATATATACTACTTTGTTTTCTACAAATTGCGAACATAGCTGATTAGATCTTGAAGATGCTATCATCAAGTCACGTCTCTTGCTGTTATGTAAAACATTTCATGATCATCGTTCTGCTTTCAGTTCAACGGTTTTCTATATCTTCCACGTAGGAAAGGTTGGCTATGTGTTAAAATTGTTTACAAGGGAGAAGTTCTTAACAAACTTTTTCACGTAGACAATCTGCAATTACGTATTCTTTTCTTCCAAAAAGTCCACAAGTGTTTGTACAGTACCATTTAGCAATCGGCAAAGAAGAAGTGACATTTTATATAATAATTTTATTGAGACTTATATATTTTATGTTTATGAGAGATACGATACCTTGTGGATTCGAATGTGACAAAACCGACGTTCACACACGCATTAGTAAACGTATCGAATTAACGTCGTGACTTTCCTTCAGTGTCTATAGAGCAAAATATATCTCGGTCGTAATAATAACAAGTTCAACTTGTCAATATACAATGTCGTACCTGCGTTTATTGTTTAGCTTTAGTGCCATTTGATTCCATTTGACGAAAATCACGACGTTGTTGATACGTGCGAATCGGTGTTAAAGCGTCGTATGCAAAACATGGGTGGAAGACTACTTCGTATTAGCTAACATTTTCTCCACAGGAACTTTTCTGATAAGACGTAGGTCGTCTGATACTCTTTAGGAATACAAAACTCTTCACTTAAATTTGTACATTTAATTATAGTCTGATTACTATGTTTCAAGTGTACAGTTTACGCCACGAGCATGAACAACGTCCTCTTTTCAGAGCTTAGAAAAACTGCGATATTATAGAAAATATTTAGGGTTCTTGTCAAACGTCTCGTGCCAATGGAATGCTCCTTTTCCATTATTCATAAAGTGCAGCAATCTGATACACATTGCCCTGGTCCTTCGGGGATCGTTATGAATAATAGGGAAAAAACAGCATGTTCTGTCTTGAAGAATCTTCCACGTTCCAGTGCACGTTACAATAGCAACATAATATTTATTTAGAACTGAACATAATTAATCAAGAGTCTTTTAATGGAGAAGAGACTGCAATCACAAGATAGGCTTACTTACTCGAAACTGCTAATCTCAATGAACCTGTTAACGAGGTGAGTAGATTTTGTAAAACTCTGTTATTATGCATAATCTTACTTTAATCTTCGGGTGGGACGTTGAATATACGAGCAAATATTACAAAGCGATTGTTCATCGACCACTCATTGTGAATTGCATTTTGACGAAGCTCGTTTGCTTCCGATTTCTTCTGATTTCTTCTTAATTCTGATTGCTTCTGACTTGAACTTGTTAGAGAAGCATTATGTATTACGACTGAAGATTACTTTGTAATGTTTGCTGACGAGAGATCTTATTTATCCTACTTATGCGATCGATTGAGATATATTGTGAGGTAACTAACGTGCGAATAATGCCATTCAGATGACTTCTCATATTGTAAATGCTTTTTGTCTTCTCAAGACTTGCTTGAAAAAGGACATACATATATATTTTTAATATTTTCAAATATATGGTATGTGTGGTGGTACGATTTATTCTGAAATATAAATAAAAATATATAAATAATATTTAATAGTCTATGAATAATTCTAATAATATTTAACATAATAATAAAGTTGCAATCTCTTTATTCTCTAAATGATTATGCGATGAATTAAGCGCTTATCAGCCTGGACCGTGTATCTTTTCACCTATGACAACCGCAATATCTGTGAACGCGTGCTTTTAACAAAAGGTTGTCTAGGTTTAGCTATTGAAATCTGGGCTGTAATATGGATAATCAATTAGGTGACGAATTTAAAGAAAATTCTTATTACATATCACTTTTAAGTGAACGGCGAGAGGAACACTTGTGAGAACTCTTCGAGTTCTGATGAGCGACCTTGTGTAATTACGATCAAAAAACAATTGTCAGAAACGAGAAATGAGACTATAAAATAATCTTATGATGAGAAAATACTTTCACCGCACGGGGATGTGCTATCTCGTATAAAACTACACAAACGCGAAAGATAACCGAATGTGAGTATATAGTTCGCGTGTTAATTCCTGCGATATGACGCAATTCAGTAACTATAAGAAATATGACGAAACAATATATTTTGCACAATGCGGCGTTATATATATATATATATAATATATATATATATTCAAAACATGCAACAAGAAGTTACTATGCATTAAAGATGTGACTGTATTGAGTAAAAAGGATATATAAAAAAATTATTACGAAAAAAATTAATAAATCAAAACTAAATTCAAGATATATTAATGTTTAATAATTGCAATTTTATGCAATTGAAAAGGCATCATTCAGGATAATTGGCTATGCGTTTTCAGTCCCATAGCGAGTCATTGCCTTAAATACATAAATGTTTATAATATATGTTTATAATATATTCATAATAAATTATATAGTGTTCGTGATTAATATATAGTGTTCATAAACGTATTCGTATTTCGATTCGTAATTCTATTTCGATATATTGTTCAGCATATTGGATGTATTTTATAATTTACTATCTGAAATTATATTTTGTTGCAATATTTTGACCTTTACATTATTCCAATATGTTATATGATTGTGATATATATACATTTGTATGTACACGTGTGTATGTATATGTGTATACATATGTACGTATTATATATCTTTTACGAGATCCTGATAAAACTATATCATCGTAAATTTATTTTAAAAAAACGTCTACTTTTGTACCAGTAATATGCTCAATCACATATCACCATCTCACGTAAAAAATTATATTACTATATTTATATTAAAGTATTAATATATATAAAACGCAATTAAAACTATTCTGCTCATCAAGCGAGACATATACTTCATGTACGTGGACGTCCAGGTTTTTAAAATCAGAGTCGTCTGAAGACAGTTTTCTTAATAATCACATATTTATATTATTTTGTATGTTTTCAGATGATATCGCCAGCTGGTTGAACGCAAACAGAAACAGAAATTTTTAGGTATTTAATTGATACTAAAATTCATAATTAGTCATTGTATCGCAATGTATTATAAGCATTTTGTACGTTTATATTTTGGGATTTATTTTTCACACATTTTGAATTATTTTACAATTTTTGCTTTCTTTTTGCCAAAATTTGCATTTTATGATGAATTTTATTCATTTTGAAGATCTATGATAGAAAATATATAATCCCAACGTACTGATTTTGCTTGAAAAACTCCATCAATATTGACAAAGATATTTCATACGCGTTATAATTATCCTGTAATTATTTTATAGTCTGATGCCTTGAAAGGACCAGTCCATACTTGACATCATTACATGAAGTAACTGCCTTATGTGCCTAAGGTTTGTAAAATTATTAATATATCTTTATACCTCATTTTCGACGACATTCCTTTTGTGGATTTGATTATTATGGTATATTCAATGATTATATAATTCTTAGTTACTGTACCGATTAGTTGATCGAGATACGACTTGTATACATAACATGTACATATATCATCACAGTATAAGATATGTCGTTAGTTTCATTTTTTTTCTTTGTTAAAGGTCTATAATGGAAATGGAGATAGAGGAATGACCAAACGGATGTGACATAGGCCATCAATTTTACATTAAAGGTAAGAACATTCATTAGAAATATATATATTTCTAATGAATGTTTTTTTTTAAATATGTAATATGTATTTAGATAAATAAAAAGAAAATATTCGATATTTTAATCGAATGTTGAAACATGAAATATTATCAAGATTGTTATAATGATAAACTTTCGGGTCTGAAGCCTGATGTCAAATCAAATTCCAACGTGTACAATAATCTTATTTGAGATAAGTCTTGAATTATATCTCGCTACGTCATTTATGTTGTGTCGCTAATTTCATTTTCTTCTTTGTTATAGATGCATAAAGGATATGAAGAAATGATAATTGGTATAATATGCATAAAGGATATGAAGAAATGATAATTGGTATAATATAAATTATCGACTTTATTTTAAAGGTAAGAACATGAACACATATTAGAAATATATATTTTTAACATTCAGATATATAATCCATGCTGGAGTAAATGAAAAAAAGTATTCAATGTGACAAAATCGACAAAATATTATCAAGACTGTTATGATGATAAACTTTCGGGTCTCAAGCCTGATGTCAAATCAAACTCCAACGTATACCATAATCTTATCTAAGACGAGTCTTGAATTATATCTCGCTACGTCATTTATACTTGTGTCGCTAATTTCATTTTCTTTGTTATAGATCTATAAAGGATATGAAGAAATGATAATTGGTGTGATATAATTTATCGATTTTACTTTAAAAGTAAGAACATGAACATATATTAGAAATATATATTTTTAACAGATTCAAATATATAATCCATGCTGGAGTAAATGAAAAAAAAATATTCAATGTAACAAAATCGACAAAATATTATCAAGACTGTTATGATGATAAACTTTCGGGTCTGAAGCCTGATGTCAAATCAAATCCCAACGTGTACAATAATCTTATCTGAGACGAGTCTTGAATTATATCTCGCTGCGTCATTTATGCTTGTGTCGCTAATTTCATTTTCTTTGTTGTAGATCTATAAAGGATATGAAGAAATGGTAACTGGTGTGGTATAAATTATCGACTTTATTTTAAAGGTAAGAACATGAACACATATTAGAAATATATATTTTTAACATTCAGATATATAATCCATGCTGGAGTAAATGAGAAAAATATTCAATATAACAAAATCGACAAAATATTATCAAGACTGTTATGATGATAAACTTTCGGGTCTGAAGCCTGATGTCAAATCAAACCCCAACGTGTACAATAATCTTATCTGAGACAAGTCTTGAATTATATCTTGCTGTTTAGTCAATATTTCCGTTATATAAATTTTACCATTTTCTTGTGTAGAAATCTTGGGATACCCTGTACAAGGACGTCAAATTGACAGGTCAAATTGACAGGGAGGTAAGTTCTCGTTATATCTCTGAGTTAATTTACTTCGAATTTTTACATTTTGTAAAAATTGAAATTGTTGATGAAAAGCTTTACCGATTGCACTCCAATTCTATTAACAATATAATCGATCGAATTCGAACGGAAACGGCTAGCAATAGTAATGTTTAGAAAAATATGGATGAGTCACTAAATAAGAGAACAATTTCATTGATTAAAATGATGAAATAATGGCTAGAGTACTGAATAAAAGATGACAAATTATTCGTTCATATACTGAAATTCACGCGGCATCTCAATCATTTTAATTGCACGTTTTAATATTTTTTTATAAGAATAATTCGTCTCTTTCTGTTACAGCATTTCGCGCAGTGATCAGGAGCAAAGATGACTTGCTGAATTATTCACAACTATTATTTTTCCCTTTTTATGTTTCAATAAATATGCAGTTCTCTTGTTAATGATATGCGTTACGATTTACTCTATCATCTAGTTAGTGCCCTTTTGTAATTTGTTACAAGTTTGTATTATACATATAACGCGTAATTAACCAACGAGAAATCAGAGGACGAAGAAAAACGGACAAGGAAAGGCGCGAAAAAAATATGATAAAATGTATATCCCGTGAAAAAAGCTTTGACAACATTTTATTGTTAACCGCAGAAAAAGCCATATACACTTTCACACGAAATCGATCATAGTTCGACAATAATATCGAAAAATTTATAATAATTGAAATATACATAAATATAAAGACGCGCGCACGCGCGCGCGCGCGACGACGATGTTACACGTTTCTTCTTCGCGTGTGTGCCAGAACTGTACAAAAATTATCTCGAACATCTTTCGCAACGCTCATTGAACAACTTATTATTCGGTGAGATGGCATAGGCGTATAATTTCTCTTGTGTTTTTACCTTTTGCCGTTTTTCTCTTCGTTTTTAGTAAAATGACGAAATGCTAATTGCATTCTGAGGTGCGCTTTTATAAATTCACAGAGCTTTGACTTGTCACGTATGAGATGCGATATATTTAAAATCGATAATCGAATACACGGCCGGAGCGGGTGGAAGGAACGATTTTTGGTGTTTTGCGCTTCTATAAATCTATCTAATCCTATGTACTTTTAGCCGCGACGGTTAAGTGCCATATAATATTTATATATTTATATGTATATATTTTTTTTTTATTGGTACACTATCCGAACGCAGCACGCACCTTTTTGTTTTCTTTTTTTTTTCTCTTTTTATCGCGAGTTAGTACAGATTAACAGCAGCGATTTAAAATGTTCTCAGACGTTGCGTGCTCTATCGTATAAGTCTCTATTTGTTATAATTATATATATCTCTTTTTTTTTTTCCTAGAATTCCTTTGCAGTGACTTTTAATGCGATATTTAGTTTTCTCTCTCTCTCTCTCTCCTCTCTCTCTCTCTATCTCTATCTCTCGCTATCGTATTGCTCTACCAATGCCTCAGGAAATATCTGCGCTCTCAACTTGTATACCAATAAAATCCGCTCGCTCCCGTTCGTTAATTCCTTCCTTTCTTCCATCGTTCAACATTATCGATAATATTTCAATTATATTTTTATCTGTTAATACTTATTAAATATTTTTTTAATTATTGTAGATCACAGACAACTTGTTCTTAATCCATAAAAACAATTCAATTATCTTTTTTTTCCCCATAGATTACCGATGTGTATAGAATGTGTGTACCTTTCGTAGTGATGTGTCGCGTAAATATAATGCATATTCTTCGGTATATGTGTGTGTGTATGTGTGCGCGTGTGTATGATCGCAGAAATAGCACGAATTCCGGGAAAGTGAATCGACAGTCGAGCGATAAATACACGTATGTGTGTGTGTGTGTGTATGGGTTCGCCTTAGCATCTCGTCCGATTTAATGCCGCATGGAATACCCGATATTTTTTCCACAAGTGATTCGCGAGCGATTAGTTTTGAACAATTACAAGCGAGTCGTCCTGAGCGAAGGAGGAAGGGGGAGGGGGGATGACTCAAAGTGAAGTACTCGAAGTTTCGATACAAACACTTGCGACTTGGACACCTTAAAGTACTTACACGGACGGGGGGAGTATTCGAAGGGAGAGCAGTTTCCATGCGGCAAACGTTTGGTCGATATTCCAGGTGACGTTAACGCTTTACAAAATCATAACGTAGCGTACGGCTAATCGCGTTCACGGTTGACATTGAGACGATAATAAGACAAGTCGTTCTTTTTCAAAGCCTGAGGAGAGTAGCACGAAGCTCATTACGACTGATAATATCGAGGTCACGACTTTATGAACCGCCCGGGCTCGCAGAGTACGCTTCGCCTCTCTCTCTCGAGAGAGAGAGAGGGTGCGAGGGAACCCGATAACCCATTTAAACTTATGCGCAATCGGAGTAGTTTGATCTTGTAAAAATATAACGTCGAGATACAAACGGCACTGAACAAATTTAGCGACGATCGGGGTCTGTTATTTCTCGCTGCATCCTCGCGACGCTTGTCCTATCTCTCTCTCTCTCTCTCTCTCTCTCTCTCTCTCTCTCTCTCTCTCTCTCTCTCTCTCTCTCTTTCTCCTTGCTTCGACCTCCGAAGCCGAACGGCGCCCTGCTAATTGTCTCATTCGAAGTACAGAAAGAGAGAGAGAGAAGGGGAACGTGACAACATACAGCCAAAAACAACAGACCGAGTCTCGGTTTTGGCTTTATTACAGAGAAACACTCTCGAAACCGCGCACGTTTCTTCGTCCCGTGTGCACTCGTGCGTATCGATTTGAACGCGTGCGTAGTCGCGTATGTGATTCTCGCGGAAGGTACCTACTACGTTTCTGCGAGCGTACTCAGTCAGGTACCCTAAACAACGCTGGGATTTGTGCGTGTGGAGATCGTAGTATATGGACGAGGCCGCAACGGTGCGGGGGTGGACTTTTGCGAATCGCGCACGTTATCTATCTCGTCTCGTCTCGTCTCTTTCCTCCCCCTCCCCTCCCCCTCTCTTCTTTTCTCCTTGTTTTCTTTCCTTCCTTCGTTATCTGCACAAAAGCGTGTGTCGCCGAGTAATTTATCAACGGTGAAACGGACGTGTGTGTCGTCGGTGTGTCGTCTGATAAAAGTGTCTAAGATGCACGTGAGTGGACGCATCATGATCACACAGCAAGCGAATTACCTGGTAATACTCGTAACGTTATTTAACGCTATTTAGCTCGTATATAGTTTACTGATTAAGTTTTTAGTCCATAGATAACTTGTGACTTTAATATACAGGTAGCGGTGATATACCGCGAGCCTCGCCTCGCCTCTCCGTCTTCCCTTCTTCCTCCTGCGCGTTCTCCGCTTCAGCTTTTCAGCCGGGATGTTTGCTCTCGGCGTCGTCGAGTGAACCAGAGGGAGCGTTTCGCTCGGTGCGTGCGCTTCGTTGCAGGTATGTGCCTCGGTCATTTTGAGAACGAGCCTCCGAGCCTCTCTCGGTCGAATTGATCGGCGAAACGTGTCGCGCGGAGTAGCGGGTTCCTGTGTGTGTATGTGTGTGTGTGTGTGTGTGTGTGTATGTGTGTGCGCGTGTAAAAACAACGCAAGTCCTCTTACAATCCGCGCCACCCAAGAGGCGCTCCTCTTGTGACTCGAAAAGCGGAAATCGTCGAGTTTTTAAATCTCCTGCGCGAAGATTGCTCGGACTTATGTCGCTTTCAAAGTGACGAATTTCTTCCCCGCCTGACGGGGCACGTCGCGACGCGCTGTGTGGAAAATCGCTCAAAAATATATATATATATATATATGTGTGTATATATGATGCAGCCGATCGCTCGTACGTTGTGCGCGAGCCTGCGTAAGCTCCTTCTCCCCACGTGTGGGGCCGGGGCTTTCGACGTGCGCGGGATGCGAGGCACGAGGATTTGATTTTCCGGGCCGCGCGCGGGTCGCACTTGTGGACAAGCTATAAGAAAAGGCATCGTGCGAGGTAAAGCAATTCGGCGACGTGCGGTTAACGTCGCGACGAACGGACAACCCCTCCGGCGTACACGAGCGTCTGGCCGAAGACTCGCACGATCGGGGGGGGGGAGGGAAGAAGGGGGCGGAGGAGCGAGGATCGTCCCCGGGCTCTGTCGACGGAATCGTCGTCGTCGTCGGTGTACGCGCGACTCGCGTTATGAGCTGAGCTACTATATCTCGAGTAGGAAAAAGTCCGTGTCGCAAAATATCGTCGCATCATCTGTGGGGTAGGTGGGTGTAGATGGGTAGGTGGGTACAGTCGGCGGCCTTCACGACGGTGACGGATTTACGACAGAATGGCAGAGATTTGTCAAGGTTCCCTCGAAATCGCCGTTTCTTCGCGATTACGATTCGCGGCTCGGCCGAGTGCGCCTCTGGTTCACTCCGTGAATCGCGTGAGGGTGGGTTTTAGTCGATCCTGAGACAGAGAGGGAGAGGGAGAGGGAGGTAACCTGACTCTTCCACGCGGTTAGCAAAGCTCCTGCGACCACCGTTGTGGTGAACGGTGACGTCTTGTGTTCCTTACGGACGCGATAAGATCGCTTAGTGTGGTCTCCACGAGATATTATCCAGACCTTGAAAATGACGCTTCAGACTGCCGCCGTCGGCCCAGGGGGAGTTGAGATACTCGTCGTCATCGTCTTGCTCAAGTTTCTGAAAAAAGAGAAGTCTGAGATAACGCGGGGGATCCTCTCGTTACTGAGCGCTCGCGAGAGAGAGAGAGAGAGAGAGAATCGTTCGTCAAGCAGCTGGATGCGCGTCTTCGTCGCGGAGTCGACTCGTTCAGTCGGAGTCGAGCAGCGTCGAGAATCGTTTGCGTGTCGGACGAACAATCGCACAAACAGAGATTATTCGCAACACGCATCCCGCGCCGCGAGAAGCTCTCGCGTCTCTCCCCTCGCGGCCTTCGCTGAATTCCGAGCCAACTTGAAGCCTCGACGCGCGACTTGTTCGCGCGAGACGCCGTATAATTGGACACTTGATAAGCGCCACCGCGGAGCGGCATTCTCCCTCCGGAAAATCCGGGCGATATTTTTACTCTGATTTATTCCCCGCGTCATGCATTCCTCCCGAGACTCGGCTCGACGTTTCGCATATTAGCTCAACTCGTGAATTCAAAGCTTCGTTGACATCCGAAACTTGCTTCTCTGTGCGCACAGAGCGAGAACGACCCTAATACCTCGGTTTATACAAGCTCGCGCAGCATTCGCGAGCAGGCGACCGCGAGAATTCGGCAACGAAGGAGGAGAGTTCGAGGGTTGTCGTTTGGAAGTCATGGAGAACAAGAGAGAGAGAGAGAGAGAGAAGAGGGCCCTGAGGAAGCAAGAGCGAGTTAGGCAAGGCGTGGGCGGTTGTTGGGTCAGAATCGATGCTCGCGTCCTTGCCTCGTCTCAGTGGCCTCTTTCACGCATTTCGTATAAACGCGAAAACCGCGCGGTGCTTCTTCGTGGTTCCCGCCACCTGCTACCCGCCGACGTCGTCGTTCCGCGGATTGATCACGAGCGCACACTCGAGCGAAACTCGCGCGGGCGAGCACCGACGGTGCGTGTGTGCTCGGCTAATAAATAGGCGAATTGCATGGAATACTTGGGCATTTATTCTGCAAAACTGTGAATCTCTCTCTCTCTCTCTCTCTCTCTCTCTCTCTCTCTCTCTCTCTCTCTCTCTCTCTTTCGTTGGGGCAAGACTGACGAATTATTCTCACGCGAAAGAAAATAATTTCAGAACAAGCGGAATCATCGGGATTTTAGAGAATTTTATTCGTATATACGGCCTCAAGAGGACTCCTCTAAGATTAAGAGGGAAATATTGTAAACACATTGTTCTTAAAGTTAGAGGGATCATGTGTGTATAATGCAAATCTTATTGATTTCAATATAAATTTCCTCTTATACACAGAGATTATTTAATCTTCTTTTGAGAGGATTATTATTTTTACTGTACTTTATTCTTACTGGTTATACTAGTTCATTTGAAAAAATTATTATAATGTATAGCGAAAATATATATATATATATGTATATAAATGTACTTCTAGTTCCAATTCTACAATAAGCAGGTGCGAATGAAATAAGATTATCGTAACAAATAAATTTTCAATCAATTTTGTCATGGACCTGATAGCTACAGGGGTGTTCATCATAACTAATTGTATGAAACATAGTTGAAAGAAAGAATATATTATTCAACTTCTTGCAATAGATTATAAACTGTATTTGATCAAATACAGGTAAATTATCTTCGTTATATGTTACAGCAACACGCATATCTTTTTTAAAAAGCGTTTCAAATATTCTGACTCATGAGCAGATATGGTTATTTTTTTCGTTCATGTCTGGAGGTAGAGCATGACTGAACAAAAGAAGCCGACATTCAAATCAACATATTCCTCTTCATATAAGAGGAGAATTAATTGATACAAGAAAAAAATCCTTTTGAAGTACGAGAAAAAGTTAGAAAAATATCTAATAAATTTGAGATTAATGGTTTACTTTAATCGCTTTATCGAGAGAGGAAATCCTTTTTCTGTAAAAGGCTTTGCTTAGATTATGAGAAAAATTGAGAAAAATCACTTTACACAAGTAGAATACTTTTTTCTAAGCACTCTGGGAATTTCCCCCCGAATCTTTCCCTCCTCTCTCTCTCTCTCTCTCTCCCGTGTTTTAATTCTCCCGACTAAAGCCGAGCGGCTTGGTTCTTAATAGCGGACTTCAGATCTGCCGAAGCCAGTTAAAACAATTAAATGCCTTGCGTTGTCAGGAAATTCTCACGCAAGACGAATGGGAAAAATCGTTTCCCCGTTTCCAAATCACGGGGCGATATTTGATGAGAATTTTCCCTCGCCTTTCTCAGCGCGTCACCGAGATACGCGGATGACAGTGCAAACTGGGGCGAAGTACTAAGTAGCTTCGCTACTCGTCGAGCTACTTGTTACTATATTTCCTCGACAAATGTAACGGGTCAAACATTGTTACACGGCTCTCTCAGAGCGAGACAGATTTGCGGGCGCGGATCCCGGAGAGCTCTCTGCTATTTGCTCAAGAATACATCCCCGTGATTTTCAGGGCACACACGACGCGTCGCGCAAGTTGTTTATAATGTTCGACACACGTACGTGCGCGTGTGTATCTGTGCGACGTTAGAAAAATACACACTACGCGCTTCAACGAGATTGCACGAAAACAAATCATCCGTCGCTCGTCGGTATGCTCGTAAAAGTCAACTCGAAAGACGCGATATGACAGAATAGAGAGACCAGCCTGATATCGCTGTTTCTGTCGCAGCCGTCCTTTGAATGGTAGATATAAATCGGGGATACTTCAAATAGATTACTCGGTGTATGCGGTCGAAGAGCGACGGTGCGAGGGGGGGAGAGGGGGGGAAAGGGGAGGCAGCGGCGACTCGCAGTCTATCACGCAGCCATTCGACCTATATCGTCCTGCATCCCAAGCCGCTATTTATAGATGGATGCGCCGGCAGTGTGGTCGAGAGAGCACTTAGCCGCGCCATCGTTTTATCGCGTCGACACGCTTCGCGTGCGTGCGAGCGCGCGCACGAGCGAGCGAATTGTTTTTATAAAATTAATCGAACGCGCGCAAACAAGCACAGCACGAAGAGTCGAAGGGAGGGAGGAGATAGCGGCGGCGATCTCCTCTCCGGGGATCTCTCCGAAGATTGCCAGCGTGTAATTCTCCTTGTAAAGCTCGCCGAACCCCCTCGTACGATTAGCGGCTCACGGCGCTGCGATGGGAAAGAGCGAAGAGACCTTAGTCGGAATCCAGCGTGTACGGAAAATTTCCTCGTTTCGTGCAACATTTTCGATCTGTAAATTTCGCGTGTAACCGTCGCCGAAAAGCGACACCGCAAAATATCGAATTTGCTCACACCCCGCTAAAACCCCGAGGCAATCGTGAGTTGTGAAATTAATGGGCAAAACTCCTGTTTAGGGAGACCCACCTCCGATGACCTTGTCTGTTAGATATATTATCAAGGAGACCCTCCTGAGTCGCAATCAAAAGGTTTTAGCCGTCGCTCATTGTTTATTAAAAAATAATTAACAAGAGAAATTTCATAAATAGAATGTAATTTTCCGACACTGTGTACATACTTAAGGAATGAACACATGCTATACATGTCCTATACATGAATATGTTCATCGTACTACTGACCTACAACTTCATCTGTTCTTTTTAGTCGCAAAAAATTTTTTTAGTAATTATGCAGAAATAGGGACCACCTCCCGATGTCAATAATTTTCATATATGTTATCAAGTTCTGTAATGTTGTTCTGTAATGAGTAATGTTCTGAAAGTTTTAACCCGCGCTCATTGTTTATAACGGAGTTATGAACAAATGAAGTTTCATAAATTTTTCCATGCAGTTAATCCAAACACAGTCTATATATAGAAATGTAGGAAACAGTACATATAAGCGAGGGAGGGGCGCCCCCCTCCTCGAATAAATCCTAACCCAACTTAACTTGTTGCATCTTTATATGAAAAGATTTCCTTAAAACCCACCACCAAATTGTATGCAGATATAATAAGTTAAATTGGGTGGAGGTAATAGGTGATAGATCTTAAGAGAACTTATTCAACAATGTCCAAAAATATATAAAGATGCAATAAGTTATGTTAGATTATGATTTGTTTGGGGAGGAGGCGAAGTCCCTCTCCCGCTTATATGTACTGTTTAACATTGTTTAATGCATATTGTGTCTAAAGAAAATGGGCTCTACCTATAAAATTCATTTATCTATAGCTTTCTAAAGTGAATCCCCTAATTTACGAAGTAAGAACGCTTTATAAAGAAATATAAGAAATCAAAACATTACACTATATATATAACAGATATGGTATGTATATATTACATGTTTCTCCAATGTATATTTGATGATGGAGAATTATTTCCTTCTTATTAAACTGTTTCGAAAAATTACGTTACATTCGTATAACTTTTTTGTTAATAACTTTTTAATAAACAATAAACAATAAGCGACGGCTAAAACCTTTTGATTGTGACTCAGGAAGGTCTCCTTGATAGTATATCTAACAGAGAAGGTAATCGGAGGTGGGTCCCCTAAACAGGAGTTTCACCAATTAATGCTTATCGCAGCCCTGAAATGTCGAGAATTAAACGAACGCGAAGAACGCGATGCGAAAAGTCGAAGGAGGAGCGGCGCGTGCAATTCTCGTGGTGAGTTCGCCGGAGCCTCCGAGTACGATTCGCAGCTTCAGTTCGGTTCCTCAGGAATCCACTTTGCCCCCGCTTCCACTGTTCCGCGGAACTATAAAAGCGGCGTTCTATCATGATCGCGCAAGAGAGAGAGAGAGAGAGAGGGGGCGGAAGAGGGCGACTGAACGTAGCGCATGCTCGTCGCACGGAGGCACTCGGTCAGAGCTACACAGTCCGAAATTCTCGTCGATCACTGGATATTATCGGGCGATCCATTCTCGTAGGATTTCTGTAACCAATTCCTCCGATTGGGTACTTCAGTATCCGCGGCACGTCGCACGATTAATCGTAATCCACGTGCCGCGTGACGTAACCTGGAGTAACGACGGCCGATCTGTCACTCGTAACGTGCACGTTCCAGCGATTCCATTCTTACGTACAACACTCCGCGATACCATCCTCCTTCTGTCTCTGTTACTTTGTTTTTCTCCGCTCAAGAAATGCCTTCGTACGTGAGGCGATCCTGCGTGACGACGTCGGGCGCGGGAACGGAATTATACACACGCGGATGCGCCAACGAATGCCGCGGGTTTTCCGAGGAGCCTTTGCTCCGTTTCGCTACTTCAGGTCATACTTTGAGTAACATGACGGTAGCGCGACGTCGCACAGTGGAACGTTTGGCCTGAAAAGCTGGCCAAAAGCGAATTTTTTAAAAATCATTCCTGCTTGACACGCTGTAAACTCAAGTGTGTTACAATAACATGCTTGAAGCGTGTTAAAGTGTATGTCTCCAGTTTAGACATACAAAATCAGCAAATTAAATTAACAATAATATATGTATGTTAAAAGAACATATTTATGTATGTATTAAATATAATCGTTTGTATCTGTGTTAATGGTTAGGTGTATTAAAATAACACACCTCAAATGTGTTATGAAGGTATATCAAAATAACACACCTCAAGCGTGTTATGAAGGTGAATTGAGCAGCATTGCAAATCCAAGTATGTTATTTTGAAATGCACAAGCGTGTAAATGAATAAATCTTTTTTTACACATTTCTTCCGTTTTAAGTCACGCGTTATTTAACATATTACGCTTAAACATATAATAATGAATAACATATAATTAATGATTTAGTCTGTAATAATAGTTATTATTGCATTAATTTGTTCAATAGACACAATACTTTTTTGAAGGCGAGTAATCGCCGATTTTGTCGATTTGTGTTTTTCTCACATGTATTTTTTTCAATACACATATGTGTGTTCATTTAAACATATGTGTGTTAACAAAATTAGTGTGTTATCACGAACACATTACTAGTGTGTTACGTGACTTGGTGTGTTATCCAATATATCATCCAGGTGTGTTCTCAATGTATTTCGATTATCATTCTGTGTCTAAATAACACGCTCTACGTGTGTCGTGGGATTGTTGAGGAAAAGTAACACGTTTCTGTAGTGTGTCACATGGTGTGTTATTAAAACACACTTTTGTCACAGAAAACGAATTATTTTGATGCACTTAGTGCCTTAACGCCAGCTAATGTGTCAAAATAACACACTAACAATCAATTTTAACACACATGTTCCGATGCCTAGTTTTACAGTGCACGAGTGACTGTCCTAGACAATTGAATATCTGCGGAATAAGGGCCGCTATGCTTTTGTTCATCCGCGATAACATAAATATGGTTTGGTTAAGTCATTTGGACATTATTCGTATTGCACGCATCAATTCTCAGCTTTATAACATACGATCTTTGATCAGAATTTTAAGGTTCTTAGAAGTAACAGCACGAAATTTTTCGTTATGGATTGTTTCGAGGAAAGTATGAAGAAACGTTTCAGACGACATTTATTGCAATTGAATTGTTATTCACGTAGATATATGATTTTGAAAATAGCCTTCAATAATGTATCTTTTTGCGTTCTCGATGTCAAACTCGAAGGATTTAGCTTGATACTTCAGGGTGCGATCCCTGTTACGTTTCTTGGATGAAATGAAAGAGTAAACTCTCCGGGTAAAATATCAGAAAGAATTAGCCGCGAAAAACCGCGGATGTAGTTTTAGTAATTACTTTTATTTTCCTAAACGTAAATTAGGTTTTGTCTAAAGATTATTCAGACACGAAGTTTCCTTTTGTTTTTTTTTTTTCGTTTCCTTTTGTAATATGGACATAATCAACAGACTTCTACTAAGTTCTGACTCGTTACCAACAAATATGAAACCCGTACCAAGAAAGAAATCTAAATCATTTTTAAAGAAAACAATTGAATATGTTTCCTCTCACTGATCCCACACGAAGAAGAGGAAATATTTCAATAGACGAAACTGATGTTGATTCTGAGGATGGAATACACTCATTAGATGAAAAAATTTGAAGTTTGTCTAGTTGAATACTTATTGATGTGGAATATTATGCTTTCTTAATTATTAAAATATTTTCACACACATATTTGCACTTTATTTCATGAAAAACTGTAAAAATACGAAATCTTTATAATGATCATACATATATATATATATATATATATATATAATTAACAGCACGTTTTAAACCGAAATTCGTCAAGAAATAATTTTGGCCAACTTTTTGGTACAAACGTCCCACTGTGCGTCGGGATAATTGATTCGTCACCGAAGAGGTGCACGTTCTAGCGAACATCTTTACGTACAATATCCTCCAGGAGCTCGATACGTTCGGGCGCGCGACTTAGCTGCAATGCGGTTCAACTTTTCGACTCGGCCGAACTGTCGTCCAACGAAACCCGGCGGAAAAATCGATTTATCCGACACCAGCGGAATTGTTTCTCAGCGTTCATTTCCCCGGCTACACGTGCGCGTTACCGTCGATTCGGTTTAGTTGTTGTTACTTTTTCTCTTTCAAGTGATTCGTATTGTATCATGCTTTTCAGTTTCCTATCTATCTACTCTATTTATCTTTCCAATTTTCCTGTTTTCCGGCTCGCTCGTCGCTTCGGAATCGCCCCGCGCTCTCGCGCGCCGCACGAAATCGCGTGTACTCAATTTATTTCTGCCGAGCGATGATTAATAAATGATTCGGTGCTTATCGAACGGTAACGCCAAACGACGTGCTCGTCCCCGGGTAAACGCCGGTATATAACACAGACGGGCGTTACGAGCTGTTTGTGAACAACTCGATAAACCGATCCGATTGTTCCGAACCAATCAATTTTGTACGGAACATAGTGACGCTTGTTCACTTAGATGAACGAACACCTTCGGTTCGCCGCAAACCACGGGGGAAATTGACCGAATACTCGTCAGCGATGCCGACGTCATGCCCGGGCGTGTAAACTGTGCGGACACGCCGAGATGACATTTACGCACGCGGCGTGCCGTCCCGACAAGTCCGTTCAGACGCGACTTTATTATATCTCGTGCAAAATTATCGCGGCCGTGTGGAGCGAGCCGCCGTTACGGTGACATAAATGCTTTCCCGTGGCTGCAAGAACAGACACGAATGAACGAAGCTGCTGAAGGCGAATGCCGCGTTTGCGCGTTTGTTGCGCGATAACAGCCGCATAATCCGCTGCAACTTTGGAAAATTAGGGAGACTACTCGGAGAGACACGTGACGCCGCCGAGAAAGGAAATGCATCGAAATTCAAAAAGCGAGACGATTCGTCGAAAAGCTGCAATGCGGAAATCCGAATTCCTCGAAATGCGATTTCACCGAAATATCGGAATTGTTTCGCTCGCAGCTCGTTTCGGCCAGTTGCATCGGTATTTTATTCTTTCTTTAATTAACGCGACGATAATCTCTTTCGTGTATACATAAGTATAAAATTAACGCAACGTTGCGGAAGCGAAGCGAGATAATTATCAGAGTAATCAAAGTGTGATGTAATGAGCCAAAGCAAACATTTTGTTACGGTAGGTCTAAACTTACTAGCAGATGTATATCAAAATGGTCGACCGCGAATGAATATTAATCAGGAAGCAGGTTAATGCGATTTACGGATTGAACTTTTCCGAGGGATGAATTTGAGTACGGCGAGAGTGCACTCAAATAGGTAGTTATTAATACATTTGGATGTGCTGTGTGTTCTCGGAATAATAATTCCTCTTCGGAACAATAGCGCATCCCGGTAAAATCGTACCACCCGGTAACATCGTAATATCCGTATTTGAATTTCAATATTATGACTCTTCGGAAAATCGCTCTGATTTCCGAATTTCGCGATTTTTTACCTCTCGAGACGACGCATGTCCATTGGAATCCGCGTCGGACGGGGTCGCACCTTATCGAAGAACAAACTCCGCGACAATCGTACCTTACTGGTACTGAAGAAGCCGAAGAAAAAGGCCAGCTGCCTGCCGATGCCTCGACGTAAGAATTTCACGGGATCCGATGTTAGGCTCAGGGTCACGCACAATCGCGGCATTTAAAAGGACGATATACTCTCCGTGCACATCCAATCAAACCATCCATCAAAGACGTGTCACGCGAGAGCAGCTTTACCGAGGCCTTCTAACGGGATTAGCATTCTTAGGGAATAACTCTAAATCGCCGACGATTGCGGTTAAGGCGATTGCGTGTATTCGCAGTTAGCGCTTGAAAAGCCCTCTCGAAGCCCCACGAGAGAGAGAGAGAGAGAAAGAGAGAGAGAGAGAGAGAGAGAGAGAGAGGGAGAGACCGTGAAGATGTAAACGCTCAAAGGCGATCGATGCTCGCGATATTTCGCGGGCGACAAAGCCGACACACAGCCTCTCCTTATGTCGCGGCACGTGCTCGCCGCTCGAGACTTAATCGATATGACGAGGATTTTCGGGAAGCGGCGCTTACCCCTGAACAGAGAGCGAGTTGGGAATCCCATCGAGGCTCTCCCTGCTGATGTCGTCGGCCATTGCGACCTTGAGCTGGTGGCCGAAGCTCGCCAAATCCTCCCTGAAGGCTTCACTTCCGGGCGTTAGTGCACCGCTCGTAGGTGGCAAGGGTGTGCCATTCTCCTCGGTCCCTTCCAGCCCGTTCTCGCCGTCCTTCATGCCTACAGGGACCTCCTCGTCTTCGTTGTAGATCTTGAAGTAGGCGATAGTGAGGTATATCACCGAGATTATGAAAGACGGTATCGGAATCGCCATCGCGTACACAAGGTTCATGTACACCTGAGGGAGCGTTTCAAGGCAGAGGTTGATATGCGACCGAGGTGTTGCTCGCGATGAAACATCGACGTGATCTTTGGGGGGGGGGAGGGAGGAGGAAAATCTCACGACCGAGGCTGACCGAGTCGCAAATCGAGAACGATCGCTTTCGATCGCGCTTGCCATGCGTTTCCATCAGTCCAGCCTGTACTGTGAATTTTTTCGTTATCGCAAATACTTTTTTTGCGGTTGTTCGGAGAGTAATTTCGGTCTCTTCAAATAGATGGTGTTACTTGCCCTTTTTTTAAGCAGATAACCTCATTCTGAACCGGAAAATCACTTTATATTTTTACAACGCACATTTCGAGCTTCATTTGAAAAGAAGTTGTCTTGGAAAGTTGTCAAGTTGTTTTGGTTTGGCGTCGCATCAGAAATGGAAAACCAACGTGAGTTTTTTCGTCATAGTTTTTTCGCTTTTTTATTAATAAGTAAAGGCAAGAATACAGCGCAAGTGAGAAAAATTATGTGTCGTGTATAGAGAGGATGTATTGACTGAATGCCAGTTTCAGAATTGGTTTTCGAAATTTCGACCTCAAAGATGCACCACGTTCCGGAAGGCCAGTTGAGGCTGATAGAGACCAAATAAAGGTATCGGTGATGACCCAAATCGTCATTTAACAACATGAGAAATTGCTGAGAGATTGAATTTATCGAATTCGACCGTGCATGAGCATCTGAAACAACTTAGTTTCGTTTCAAAGCTCAATATTTGGGTTCCACACGTTCTCGAAGAAAGAGATTTGATTCGTCGCATTAGCATTTGCGATTTGCTGTTGAAACGCGAGGAGAACGATCCATTTCTGAAGCGACTCATAACTCAGGAGATGCAAAATGGATTGTATACAACAATATTAAACGCAAAAGATCATGGAGCAGACGTGGTGAACCAGCTCAAAGCACATCGAAAGCTGATATCCGACAAAAGAAGGTGATGCTCGCTGTTTGGTGGAACTGGAGGTTTTTTGAGCTGCTACTAAATAACCAACTGACTGATTCGAATGTGTATGCATTGTCATCAATTGGACAAATTGAATGATTCCATCGAGCAGAAGAGACCAAAATTGGCGAACAGAAAAGGTGTTGTGTTTCATCATGACAACGCCAGACCTCATACAAGTTTAAGGGGACTGGAGGGTCAGATTGCTGAAAAATCGTGCTTGTTTTTGATATAATATTTTGTAACGAACTGAATAAATGTGCAAGAATGAAAATTTTAGGTATAATTATACAACATATGAAGAGCAGAAAAATTTTGTTTCTAAACAAATACTCGTATAAATATACGATATATATAGGTGAAATATACTCTTTTTTTTTTTTATCAAGTTTTTGCTGTAATATCTCGGCTCTCGGTGGTCCGATCAGAGCGAATTTTAGCTAGAAATCTTGAGGAAGCTTATCCGGTGAACCACTAGAAAAAAGAATCGAACAAAATTAATAAAACAGTAGCTATTATTAGAAAAGAATCCAAATTTTTTAGTTCTTTTACAATAAAAAAATTAATATCTCGAAATGAAATATTTTGACGAAGTTGTCCATGGTTCATCTGAGAGCCATATGAACAAATATTATTGTTTTAAAATTTCAAATCGATACGAAGTTCAGTTTCGGAGAGAATCACTGCAAAAAGTTGAACAATAAAATTTCGCGAAAAACGCGTTTAAAATTTAAGTGGACGTATATTTATATGATTATTTGTTTAAAAACAAAATTTTTCTATTCTTCATATGTTATACAAATACATGCTAAATTTTCATTCTTGCACATTTATTCAGTTCGTCACAAAATCATTATCAAGAACAAGCACGATTTTTCAGTAATCTAATTCTGAATCCAGTCGCCTTAATGACTCGCCAAAAGCTGTTGGCGCTTGGATGGGATTTGCTACCGCATCCACTATATTCATCTGATTTGGCACCATCTGATTGTCACTTGTTTCGGTCACCGCAAAATTCTCTTTGGGTGGTAAAAATTTCGATTCAAATGAAGGTGTCAAAAATCACTTGATTCAGTTTTTCGCCAATAAGGACCAAAAATTCTACAAGCGTGGAATCATGTTATTGCCTCAAAGATGGCAAAAGGCGTTGGAACCAAATGCTCAATATTTAACAGAATAAAACTTTTCCTTCTATTAAAAATATCGTCTTTCATTTTCATGCAAAAAATCGAAATTACTTTCCGGACAATAGAAACAATAGAATAGATGATCCCCGAATAATCCCCGCCTATATTGCGACCGCCCATGATCGAGTGAAGGGAAATCGAACGAAGGACTGTTTTACCCCACAGGACAATGGATTCGGAATGCAAACGGGCCGCTTGCTGAAAACGTACTCAGTGCGTAATGAGCGAGAGTAGCGACTGTCAGCGCGAGTAACGAGTAACATATATAGCGCGGCAAGTGGTAGAGATCGGTGCATAATCAGCCGTTCGCAGACGCTGCTCTCGCCGAGAAGTGTACAATCGGCAATTACATTTCCCGCTTGTAATCGGATAACAAAAATCGCCAATCGTGCGAGCAATCTACTCCGACGTTTTTACGGCGCGACCTCGACGCCAGGAGACGCGGCCGAGGCTAATCCTCGAAACGAGATCCAACCGTAAATTCGGCGGGAGATCACCCACGAGAATACTGCCGGCGCGCGATGTTACTCGCGCCGCACGCGATCCTGTTTCTTCCTGTCGTCCATTCGCTCGGTGGATCGGCGCTCATACCATCGGGAGCAGAGCGCCGGGCTTTTCCGGGATCGTCGATGTTATCGGCGATTTATAACGGCAGACCGCCGACCGCGCGCCCGTGGAAATTGGATTTCTGCGCGCGCCGGCAGAAATTTTCTTTTCTTCCGCCGCGCCGCGATGGCTTCCGTCTTTGTCATCGGCCGCCCATTCAGCCGCTTGAAATGCATTGTCCGTTCCGCGCGCGGACGGCCGCATTTCCGTCGCCGTAACGCTATTTTGCCGAGCGCGCCGCGCCGCGTACGACGGTTTAGCGACCGTCGAGATCCGTCTTCGAGATCCTTGCGACTCTCGATGACTCGCGGATATGAAGATGAGAGAGGCGCGCCGTCGTCGCGAGTAAGCACTGGCCGAGGCCATTTCCGTGACCGAGAGAATTACGAGAGAGAAAGAGAGAGAGAGAGAGAGAGAGAGAGAGAGAATACGGACGAAGTTGGAAACACTCGATTGAGGACGATTAACCCTTTGCGTTGGCGTTTAGTCGACGCTCATGTGGGATATACGCGTCTATTTAACGGGATCGATTTCTGACTCGACGTCGGGTTGAAAATGTATCGATATGATTGATTTTTACTCTCAGATTCGATAAAAATCCAAAGGTATCAATTATTTTAATAATGTTTTTCACTCGGTGTCAGGTCGAGTCGCAAAACAAATATCTGAATTGACAAACATACAGATTCTCTTCTTTTTGACATCGTCTAAGGACCAATATCCTGAAAGAAGGTCAGTTTTGTTCTAAAAAAATCCCAGAGATGCGAGAATCAAGGATTTCCCATGTCGAATCGAATCAAATTGTAGAAATTTAACTTTTAATTAACGACGGAATTAGTGACATGGTCTGTAGGAGCCAATCGCTGAATATTGGTACGAATAATTTTAAATTATACGAGAGAATAATTTAATAACGTACGACGACGCATGCGACGAATATTTTTCCCAGATTGCAGGTGAATCAACCTTTCCCGTCAAACTATCTGGAATCCTAATTATTAATATTGAGACTCCAGTAGCTTTTCCTGATAATTTAATTCTACATTAATCGGTGCCTTTCAAAAGTTGCGAAATATATTGTCTCTCTCCGTCAGCCAAGCGTCTTCGATTTTCCTCCTTTGTCGATTCTTAAAAGAAATCAATTAACCCAAAAATTAAATATGACTTCTCAAGATTGCCCTCAAGCGATATGCGAGACTTATATTTATTATAAAATTTGGTAATTCGAAATTTCCGAATGTTTCGCGTGTTTCAACGGCCAGTAGCGATATTTGTTACTTGAAACTTGTCTGGCGAGTGACACGCTCAGATCAGAATTGAAGGTTAGATCTGAGTCTTCTACACTAGGAAAAAAAATTTAGTATCTCTAACAAATCTGTTTAGTTGAGGCATTTTTTAGTAGCAACCAAATATCTCGTTTTATACAACAAAATATTTAGTTGTCTCAACTAAATATATTTTTCTGCTTTGTTCTCTGGACCAAATAATTTTGTTCTTAGACTTCATATATAAAAATTGAGCATTTTTTATCCATAAAAATTACATAATAACGAAATATTATTTTACATAAACATAAAATAATGCCCAATGGATACTATTTTGTCTTTCTGTTCTATTTTGTCTTTCTGCACTAAAATTTAGATTTTATATATTAAGAAAAAATTATAGTATTTTCAACAAAATTCATATAGTTGAAGCTTTTTGGTTGCTATAACAAAAGTATTACGTTATACGAACAAACTGTAATCAAACAAGATATTTGTTTACAGGAACTAAACAGTTTTGTTGGGCATATTTTAACCAAATTATTTTGTTGTTACAACAAAATTTTGGTTCACGCAACCAATACATTTTTCCTAGTGTAGTTGAATCCGAAATCCGATGTACCTGACGTTACATTACAATCGCGAATTTGACTGAACATTTTACCTCTCTCACTCTAAATTCTGACCCGAGCATCCCGCTCGAAGCAACTTTCGAGCAACTATTGATATACGTCTACGTGTCCGAGACGTGCTTGACGATCTTAGCTCGTAAAACTTCCGTAGAACGTCCGCGGAGACACGATTCCAACGCAAGGGATTAACGAAGAGATGTTCCAGAGGAAAATCGACCTGACGTCTTCCAGAAGCGATCCAGAAGAGACGCCTTTAAAACGCCGATACGGAGTGGCGATTAAAGAGACGGCCGATTGATGTGAGAGTGGATGACTCCGTATATCAATTAGAGCCCGATACGCCTCGGAAACGCCTTCGTGTTACAAGGGCGGTTTGTTTAATCGCCCGCGCAAAACGGTTTCGGCTGCATAATATACTGGCCCCGATAGACAGCCGCAGTATCGATTCTCAAGTGCGCGTTTGTTCCCGGCGTAAACTCGGGCAAAAGTCACACATAGTACTTTCGCGTGACCCGCACATATCGATGTGTGACGGTCGAATCGCTAAGTATAACCCGGTCACCGGGTTTTTGTGCTGCAGGGGTTAAAGCCACGTCAGCTCGCGACGGATGCCGCGGCGAAGAAGCGAAGGACGACAGGAATTCGTACAATTCGTGCTCGAAGGGGACTCGGGCGAAAGGTGACAAAACAAGAGGCGAGGTGTATACGTGGTTGTGTGAGTGTGTGCGTGAACGTACAGAGGTGTAACATCAACATACAGGTCAGTATGACGGGTTGCTCGCTCCTGTTAACGAACGATAATGTAGAAGTTGCCGAAAAAGCTACTCATTCACTTTGTCGATAATGATACTGAATGAATCGTGCTCCTAATTGTGACAAGCGCGACTAACTTTGCACCGTGATCGTTATAACAGTTTGTCGACCGGAGTCGAGCCTCATTGAATTGAAAAAGATATTTAAAAAAGTGAAACTGAGAAATAAATATTAGGTGTGTGAATTAATTCGGTCCATCTGCTGCGGTCAATCGCTGTGCTATGTAATTTTCTAACTTCTAATGTCTGCAAAAGGCATTTACTTTTTAGTTTTGATATCTGGCAATAATATTCAGTTGATAAACGTTTGGGCTTGTAACAATAACATCGTGTTTATCTGATTCGAAAATGTCGAAATTCGAGCCAAAAGAGCATCATTTCCGGCAAGTTCTCATTTTCTGTTTTCATTTGAAGAAAACAGCCGCTGAAGCTCATCGAACGCTCGTAGAAGCTTATGGTGAAAGTGCTCCCACCGATAAATCATGCAGAGAATGGTTTCGACGTTTCAAAAGTGATGATTTCAGTGTCGATGACAAACCTCGTCCAGGTCAGCCGAGGAAGTTCGAGGACGAGGAATTGCAGGCGCTAATCGATGAAGATCCGTGTCAATCGCAACATAAGCTCGCGCAATTGTTGAATGTTGATCGATCAACAATTTCTGTGCGTTTGGCAGCCATGGGAAAGATTTACAAAGAAGGAGGATGGGTGCCATACGAATTGAAAGAAGGAGACATCGAGAGGCGAAAAGCCATGTCTGAAATCTTGCTTGCCAGGCAGAAAAGAAAAGATTTTTTGCATCGTATTGTGACTAGAGATGAAAAGTGGATATATTTCGATAATCCCAAACGAAGGAAATCCATTAGCGACCCAGGAAAACCATTCACATCGATACCAAAGCGGAATATTCGCAGCAAGAAAGTAATGCGCTGTATATGGTGGGACCAGAAGGGTGTAGTGTATCATGAACTATTAAAACAGAGCCAAACCATCACTGCCGAACTTTACCAACAACAATTGATCCGTTTAAACAACGCGTTGAAGAATAAGCGAGCGGAATATGCAAAGAGACACGACAAAGTGATCTTCCAGCTCGATAACGCCACATGTTGGAAAGATTGTGAATGCCACCTTGGAAGCACTTGGCTGGGACCTTTTACCTCACCCGCCGTATTCACCAGACATTGTTCCATCCGATTATCACTTGTTCAGATCGATGGCACACGGGCTTTCGGACCAGCGCTTCAACAATTGTGAAGAAATCGGGAAATGGCTCAATGAATGGATCGCTTTGAAGGACGAGTCGTTTCTCCGTCACGGAATGCAACAATTGCCAGACAGATGGGAAGAAATAATAGCAAGCGATGGCAAATACTTTGATTAGTGTACTTTTTCATGTTTTCTCATGACTAAAGTCTTTTCTCGGAAGAAAAAAATGGACCGAATTAATTCGCACACCTAATATTACGGAATTAAGCAGAATAAATGAGAATAATAGTTAAAGAGATAAATAATGCAACATATGAGTTAATTTTTTCGACAACCTCTGCATTATCGTCCGAATAGGGGCAAGCAAACCCGTCATACTAACCTGCATGTTGATGTTACACCCTATATATATGTACAGGATGTTAAAAAAAAAGGACTCCAGACACTTACAGGGCAGATGGTACTCATTCTATTGAATAAAAATCGAAAAACTTTGGCAACTCTGAAAAGGTACATCTTTTCGATCTATGTTCACTAAGCACTTTCTTCACTCAGCACAATGAACACCACCTACCCTACAAGTCTGGAAGTCTTTTTCTAAACGCCCTGTATAGGCGAGGGCTCGAGAAGCAGCCCGCGTGGAAAGTATACAATAGTGCAGAGACCTGCCACATGTCGAGGTCGCTGATGACTATCCCGGGGTCCACTTTCGAGTAGTAACAGCTAAAGTTCTTCCCTATGTTGGCGTACTGCCGGTAGAAAATACTGCAATTCAGCATTGGAGGGTATCCACAGCCTTTTACGTTGGGGAACAGCTTGGCCCCGGTGAAGTACCACACGGAGTCGTTGCCCATGAGACCTGCGAACTTCCCCTCGTTATTGCTCGGCGACGGGCGGCTTCCAGCGAGAGAACCGGAAGAACAAACCGGACACAGAGGACCAAAGGAAACCGCGTGTATAATGACTCGCGAATATTGCGCTTTCTCTCGACATTCAGCGATTTATCGCTGAATAAGCTTCGCCCCCGGGCCGGCCGGGGAGGTAGATCAAACTTTTATCGCTCCCACCGGGCCCGCCAGCTCTGCTGCATCTATCAAGCCCGCATCTGTTCCTGTGACGATTTCTTTTCTCACGTATTGCGAATAGTTGCGATTGTCGCAAACGCTCTGCGATATTTCTCGACGATGAGTCGAGACAATATTTGCGGAAAAGATCGTGGATAGGGTATCGGCTGCTTTGACTTTCGAGGCAGAAGAGACGGTAACAACACGAGTAATGCAAGATTCGCGTTTGCTCGATGCGTTTCTTTCCAGCGTTTTACGTTTTGTTTTTTTACAGCGGTGCTGGCACAGTCGAGGTAGAGCGGGACTAGACGGACAGAGGAGCAAATGCGAGCGAGAATTATCTCTCGGTTCTCCAATCCGCGGTGGTCACACCTTTGTACCTGTAGGGAAAGGTTTCGGCAGTCCGGTCTCGTCTTCCTCGTCGAACTCCTCCTCGAGGCCGTCGACGTACTCGCCGAAGTTCCCTAAGGAACGCTCGTAACGCGGCATCCTCTTGCTCTCTTCGTCATCCTCGACACCTCCTACCGCTCCACCTCCCTCATCCGACCCTTCGGACACGTTACCGGGTAGCTTATAGTTGACGCGTATTTGCGTGCAATCGTACAGCTCCTTAGTACAACCCTCTCTACAGGACGTCCATGAGCAATTGCTCGTACCTGGACTCAACGATCATTCATGGAATTCGGCCGCGAACGTTATAGTCCAAGCGCAACACGGATATACACCGAACATCCACACATACACGTACGCACATAGGTGAATGCGCACAGAGGTGACAGATATCACAAAAAGACCCACCCTCTCGCATACACACAACACACGCAAGTACAACATCATATATACATCAAGACGTGAGAGCTGGTCGAGAGTTGAATGCGAACACAGTTATAGGTGGGCACATTAATAATTGTGTGAAAACAGCGCGGGGGCGTGGAAGGGGGGGGGGAGGGAGGAGAAAGACGGAGATTTGCACGGAAACTCTGTCGTGAAACTCGAGCTGAAGACTTGCAACTGCCAACGCAAGCACTATTTCACAACTCAACGGAGAAACGCTCTTCAAGCTCTCGGCTAATTACTGGTTTGTTCTTTCTTTCCTTTCGTTTTCAGAAGTCCCCTTGGCACAGCATCGATTCCTCGGGATTGAGGCTTTCCGAGAGTAATTGAGTTAGAATAGCAGAGGAAGATACTGATTTAAGAGACATCGAAACACCATCCACCGCGAACATGAACATTCCGCTGAGAAGACAGCGCGGACGCACGCAAGGTGAGACGGCAGACCACGTGTGAGAGACGAATGGAGGAGAAACATGCATGAGCAAGAAGAGCGAACGAAGAGCGGAGAAGCGCGATGGTGCAGCGGAGGCGCTGAGATGAGGGAATCCAGCCGACCCTCCCGAGGTGTTTTGCGTCGTGATGTGACTCACAACGATGTTGACGCTCGCTCGCCGAAGACATCTGCATCCTATTGACGCCCGCGAGAGGAGAGGCGAATCGAGGCGACGGAGGTGGCACGGGAGAAGACTCAGATAAGTGCAAGTCGCGGGGCACTGAGAGCACAAAGACACCAGTTGCATCGATCTTATCTCGATCCGCTACACCGTCGCTTTCTCCGACCAGCGATGATCGATTCGGCTCCCGGCATCCTCGCGTTTTCACATTTCGCGTCGCGAAATAGAATCGTCGTCGCGTGTGAACGTTGCCTAAAGCTCGCGGCTCCTCGCCGCGGGTCTCTTGATTGATGACGTCCAAGTGAGCAATATGCGCTGAAAATTCTCGTCAAAGACGATCGAGCAAAAAGATGTATCCGCGTAAGAATGTTCACCCGCAGTCGGATTTTGGTGAAATGTGATCCGGGCACTTGCCTTTTAAGGGGGGGAAACAGGCCGTTTTCAAAGCTATTTTTACGAATTTTATTAACAGGACCGATGGGCTTGAAAATTTCACAGTATGTTCATTAATGTACAAGATATAAAGTAAATGTGTTACTATCTACATGAAAAGTACACAAAACTTTTATCCGGAAATACTATTCTTTTAAACTGTCGACACGATTACGCAAAAACCATTGAACCAAGTAACTTGACATTCTTACGCAACAAACAATTTTTACAATATACAGCAGACGTGTAGTTTTCGCTCCTACCTCGAACACAGTTATATATTATTTTATTCATTTTTTTTAAACATGACTGCAAATTGAAAAAAAGTTTCATTTTCAACACTTTTTTTATATAGCCATTATTTTTCCAATCCTGGCTTCACTGCCTTCATTTTGGTACGGGCTACAATAGCGACCGTATATTTTAAAAATCTTTCTCATTTTTTGGTTTCAGAGTAGCGAGAGGCCCGGAATTATGTCGCAACAGCAAACATAGAGCTCGCAAACGGATGACTGCATTTTTATCTACAATTACAAATTGGATCGGTTCCTGTGATTCAATAAAATTTATTTTATATTTTGAACATTAATGAACACACTGTGAAAATTTCAACTCCATTGATCTTACCGTTTCTGTTAAAAAAATTCATAAAAATAGCCTTGGAAACGGCCTGCTCCACATGTGATTCCCCCCTTAATCTATCTTTTAGTTCTGTCGTTTAGTTGATTAATTTCACGACTGTTTGTCGATTATAAGAAGCAATGTTTCAACTTCACGGATCTGCTCGATCAAGAGGCAGGGAGGCATTTTGCGAATATATCTTTTTATTCCAACAAGAATTTGCAACTTTTCTATTTCGCAGGAATTTTTAGAGTATATTTTTTCTCGCTTCTGACGTCATAAATAAAGATGGAAATAAAAGCCTTTTAATGCTCGAAATTTCACCGAGTTCTCACTCTCTCCCTGCTTTCTTCTCGAGGAAGAGACGGAGAATCAATTAAATTCCGGTCAAGCGTGATCGACGCTCACAGTCGCGAGAATAGCACGTAAACGCGGATAACGATATCCAGCATTGAAGCAAACTGAAAAAACAAAGGAAAACGTTGTTGATTCTTTTGACGGGGAAGCACCCGAATCGAAGCGAGAAACGAAAGGCGAAACGTCGCTCCACTTTTGAATATATAAACACGAATATTCCCGCGAGTTTCATGTCGCGACGGCAAATTAAAATTTATAAGATAATATTAAACTTTTATGTTACGTGCTCTCGTGTGTTGCGGACGACACGGCATGAAAGCCAAATGCGTGCCATCGGGGAATAAAGAATTCATAGGCTTTTTTTGTTACAATCTCCGTAGAATTTATTATACTCCGGGGTGAGTGGGCTGGAACAAAGCGTTTCCCACATGACGAATGGCAAACGAAGCAATTACGACGGGACGACTATCCTTTATTCTCTCACTTTTCTCTAAATTTTTCAACTTGCAAGCAGCAAGAGAGACGCGGCGAGGCCTTCGCGATTCAACTTGGCATCTCTACGACTTTTGTCAATAACGAACGGAAAAGCAAGCATGCTTTTATACATATACATATATATATATATATATATCGACTATATAATGACACGTTGAATATTAAATTAAACACGAGGATGTCAGCTGTCCCGCACGGACGTCCTTTGTCACTTTTGTCCGATCAGTAAATAGCCTTTCCAATCATTCGTGAAAATCCTACATTTCGACGTTGACCCGATTCCGCACGTCGGAATTAACGTCAGATTCTGTTGCCCGCCTCCATCATTGTCTTCGCCATTTTTTGATAACGCCATAAAGTTTTTACGATGCCTCGGTGCGTAGATAGGTAGGTAGGTAGGTAGGTAGGTATAGGTACACGTCCATTTGAAAAGAGAAAGCCATTTCTTCTAGCCCAACGTGCCTTCCATTTTCTATCGTAAAATCGCGCATCCTCCTCTCTTCTTTGCTGGCAAATATTAAGCGCGATTCGCGCGAACGCGGTCTTTCCCCGCGAAAAGGCTACCCTTCGTCACATACACACGCATACAAGCGCAGACCATGGTGGAACTTACACACACACACACACACGTACCGAAGGGAAGATACACATGCTTCGGCATACAGACACACAGAGAAATGAAAAATGCGCCGGGTCACGCCGTTAATTGCGCGCAAAAGGAGAAGAACCTCGGTGACGCGAAGAGAGGAACAAAGAAAGAGAAAGAAGAGAGCATACACAGCGGGGGGTGTACGCATCAGCAACGAGGCATGCAACGGAGAGCGAGACAACGAACAACGAGGGGATGAGAGAGAGAGAGAGAGAGAGAGAGAGAGAGAGAGAGAAATGAGAGAGAAAGAGAAAAAGAGAGCTAGAGATGCCGATTGTTCACCTCTTCTGGACTCAACGTCGATGGTGACGCACTCGGCGGGTCGAGTGTCAAACTGCATGAAGATGGTGGTGAAGGCGGGGTCGATAACGAAGGGGACCAAGAAGAGGAAGGCGAAGAGGCTGAAGGTGCTGAGGAGGATGAAGAACGCGGTCGTGTAGAACAGCAGCTTCTCCATGAACGTCTGCTTCTCCTTTTCGTCCGCCATCTCGGAGAACAAACGGCAGTGCTGGTTTCGCGGAGGCTCCCGAGCGACGTCGTGGTCGTCGCCGCCGTCGTTGTCGTCGTCGTCGTCGTCGTCGTCCTCGGCGTGCTCGCTGCTCGTCGTCACGTCGGACGTCGAAGAGACGGAACGATCTGCGATCAGGCAATTCTCGAGTGTTTGTCTCCGCGTTTCTTGCCGCGGCGGAGAGATCCGCGGAGTGTCGCGAGCTTTCTTTGTGTGTATGTGTGTGTGTGTGTGTGTGTGTGTGTTTGTGCGTGGGCGCTCGCCAGCAAAGACTCCGCGGAAAGTCACGGGGTGACTCCCCCCCTCCCCCGTGAGGTGACTCCTGTCACGGGGGCTCCCGGGGGATAATATGCGCTGGAGAATCTCCAGCCAGATACGACGCGTCTTTGTAAGCATTGTGCAGCGAGAGCCATTTATCTTGATCGCCCTTAAGCGACGTACGCCGCGCATCGATTAGCCATTTTTCCTTTGCGGCTGTGCATTCGGCCGTACAATGAAAGAACGCGAGTTTTTATCATGTCCATGTATTATATATGTATGTCTGTGTGTGTGTGTGTATACGTACACGGTGTTGCTCAGTGCCTACTTCGCGGCTAGACAAACTAGGCGCACACGTGCACGAAACAAATGACAGGAGGGGGAGGGGGGGGCAGCTAAAATCAATATTGTCGGCGCGATGCGTGCGAACGTAACGTTCTTTTTTTCTTCTTTCGTCGCATTCACCAGCCGGAGATTAATTAGTCGCGTGATATTTCATTCTGATTCTCTTGTGCTCCTTCGTTGCCGGTAGATTCGACCGGATAGCCTGCTGGTGATTGGAGATTCATAATGAAAGGGATTCTAATGAGAGGTTCCCGATTGATGTTTGACTCAACCGCCGCGAGGTAGGTTGCCTTGTTTATCCGTTTGGGAATAAGCGTGCAGTTTCGAAAAAAAAGCCGAGCGTCTCGACTCGGCTGTAAAGGTTATTGCGGGAAGCAACATGTGCAGCAATTACGTTTCGTCTATGCGCTTCCGATTGCTCCACGACGACGCCGTCGGCTTTCGGCGCAACAACGCAACCGTTCGATTCTCGTTACAGATGAACGAAAGGGGAACAATAGCCATTCGGAACTTCTGACTGTAGGAATCGATCTTCGTCATATTCGCGCAGCGAACGAACGGACGACTGCTACTTTGCGACCCTCGTGAATATCGCCGATTGCGCCCCTATTATTAAATTTCGCGTAACTTTTGTGCTCGCGCCGAGACGAGGATCCGTGACGAGGATCAGGCTGGCTAAATCCGAGCTCTCATTGACACATCCACGGCGGCCTTTAATGTCGGAGTGAAATCGCTCATTAAGTCGCCCGCTCGCCAAAGAGGGATTTCATTCATGCGGCGGAATTTTCCGTCGGATTTGTCGCGACGGACTCGAAGCGAAACGAAACGCGGCGGACATTGTCAAGATTGATCAGTGCTTCAAGATGAGCGCAATGCTGCTTTATATTATTGTATTTTATTGGTATAGACTGCTGTCGTCGCTCGTGTATTTGTGTGTGTATGTGTGTGTGTGTGTGTGTGTGTGCAAACGCGTATACGTCGCGCGAGAGTCGATAAAGATAAAACTTATGCCGAGCTTTAAGCAAGCTTATGCGAGTTCACGTGGAGTCGTTTAATCGGAGAGATTACAGACTTTATGTCGCGCGTCCCTCGCGCTACAGCTCGAAAATAAGCGTTCATCTGCGCACTTGATACTTTCGTCGCCAACAATGCGTATCGTTAAAGTGGGATCAATCGCTCGTTTCGGAATTTGAGAAAAAGCGGACAATGAAGCGCTGTTTCGCACTCGACAACGACGACACACAGGTTACAGGTCTGTCTCCGGGTTAAAAATCACGCGATTGAAATGACGAATTGCCGCTGGCACTTTTGATATTTATAGAACAATGTTGCCCCCTCCCCCTCCCCTCCCCACTTTGTGCCGTTTATGGTCACAATAATTAACTCGCGGCCATTTGCGCGATATTAATATTTTCGTGGCGCTGTAGCGGTCCAGTTATTGCCGTTTAACTTGGCGAATTTATCCTGGCGAATTCGTCCGCGTGTTCGTTACCAACACCGTGCTTCCTCGCCGCAGCGCGCTCGTAAGAACGTCCGATCCCCCGACTTTTAATTCAAGATAACGACATTTGCGACGCGCGCAAAAGTTGCCTACAGCGTACTTTTCCTACGCTCCTCGCTGCACGTCCGATGCATGATTTACGCCCGCGGGTTGTAGCCTATTCTAGAGCCGTGTCTAACCTTCCCTCGGTCTAATGCAACTTTTACACTACGAGAGGTACGGCACGACAGAAGTCGCGGTTAGCCCAAAGTCATTAACGGCTCGTGTCAGAAAGCGGCTGCGAGAGCGTGCCGTGCTCATTGTGCGCCGTCGCGATCGTCGATTGGTTACAAGCCGACCGTAATCGTGAATGTGAAAAATAATCCGACGTAACGCGTTCCTCCGTGGAGGAACCACTCTAATGCGAATCACGGGGAAGCCGTTTATTTACGCAGCTGTCTCACCCCTTCCCGTCCCCGGTTCCTCTATCGCATTCATGCACGAGTTCACGGCGAGATTCGTTCAAGGATATACCCGCTTATTCAAGCTTTTAGCTCTTAATCAAGCTACCTCTCGCGAGGGTAACTTTGCATCATATTAAGAAACATATTAAGTCTCAGGAGCATCCCGAGCGTGCGAGGGAGTAATCGATGAGAGAGCAGATTACGCGGGCCGATCGTCGTCTCGGATCGACTGTCTCAGACTGTCTCGCCCGCTTTCGCTCGCTCTCCTTTAGTGCGCTGCAAACTCACCCCCGCGGCGGGGGCGAAGCATAGCGATCCCGCCGACCGTCGGTCGGCGGGCATTTACTCGCAAATGGATTTCGCACGGCCCGCAAAAATTTCGACCCTCCTGACGGAGCCCCCCTGCCCCTCCCTCTCCCGCGATACATTCGACACGATATCGCCGTTCCGTTCCGTTCCAAGGCAGCTCGAGAGCGCGCGCGGCCGGATTCTCAGACGATTCCGCGGCCGAGAGAGGCATGGAATCGGAGCGTGTCACGCAGAGAAAGCTCGACGAAGCGCGTCCCCCTCGGGGCGGACGGACGGTACCCCCTATGTAGAAGATGCGAATTCATCAGGGCTCGGCGCCCTCTTCCTGTGTCCCCTCATCGTCATCCACCTCCTGCCCCGCTCTTCCCGCGTTCCTCGCTCTCCTGCCCTCCTGCCGATCTCTTCGTCTCCTGCCTTCGCCGCACTATGTCACACTGCTGTCCACCGTGCACATTTGTTCCCGCGAGATACGCGAACCACTGCGACGCTTTCGTCACGACGCCCTGACCGCCACCGAGGGTGGATAAACCGAGAGGGGTGTGTGTGTGTGTGTGTGTATGTGTGGGAGAGAAAGAGATAACGCGAAGGAGAGGAGAGAAAGAGAGAAAGATGGATGAAAAAAGGGAGAGAGAGAGAGAGAGAGAGAGAGAAAGGAAGGGAAAGAGAGAGAGAGAGAGAGACGAAGAGACAATGTATCGTCCCGCGATTCGTAGATCACGATGGGGTCCGCATAACGAGCGCCTTCAGCGACGAGCTTCCATCGGCAGTCTCTCTCCGACAAGGCAAAATCCGCACATACAAACTTTCGTTCTAGCCGCGGCGCCGACGGATGCCGGGTTACTGCAGTCGGTGGAGCTTTCGGGCGAGCTTATTTTCCAGCGATCGGAGCGCCGCGGCGGCATCTCGTGGCATCGACCGCCTCCACCGCCTCCTCCAGCGCCGACTGCGGCGACGACGACGACGACGACGACGACGACGACGGCGGCGTCGTCGCTTCACGTCGACGTCCGGGCCGACCCCCCGCGGCTGCAAGCCCAGATCACGTCGCGCGCGCTTCTTCTTCGAAGGCGTTCTTCGCCCTTTCCCTCGCGATTGTCGCGGCGCACGATTTATCGCCGCTGCTGCCTGCCGGATAGCTCGCTATTTAGCGATTTATACCGCTATAACTGTCCTCTGCGAGCTTTGCTCCAAACAATACTCCGAAGCTCTCTTTTCTTTTCCTCTTCTTTGCTGCGTGTAACGAGTCTTCCTCGAATCGAGGGACGGTGCTTCCGTAATTGTGGAGAAGAGGGTAGGAATATAAAGAGAACGGGGGAGGGAGAGAGAGAGAGAGAGAGAGAGAGAGACAAATGAAAGACGGTGACATTTTGGCATTTTATAAATAAAAATATTCCAATAATGCGCGACCCGCTCGAATTGCCGCTGCTCGGAACATGCAACGTCTGCTTTCACGGATCAGCGGAATGCATGTGATCGCCCAAAAAGAGACACCCTAAAAGAGGCTTCTATTTTATAAAGTGATATTTCCCATAGTCTCATATTCTAAGCGAAGCCTTTTACAGAAAAAGGATTCCTCTTTCGATAAAGCGATTAAAATGGACCATTCATCTCAAATTTATTAGATATTTTTCTGTTTTCCTTTTCTTTCAAGAGTATTTCCTCTTATATCAATTAACTTTCCTCTTATATGAAGAGGAATATGTTGATTGGAATGTCGGTTTCTTTCGTTCAATTATGCTCCACCTCCAGACATGAACGAAAAGATAACCATATGCTCATGGGTCAGAATATTTGGAAAGCTTTTTAGAAAAGGTATGTGTGTTGCTGTAACATATAACGAAGATAATTTACCCATATTTGGTCAAATACAGTTTATAATCTATCGCAAGAAGTTGAATAATATATTCTTTCTTTTAATTATGTTTCGTACAATTGGTTATGATGAACATTTTCGTACGAAGTCCATAACAAAATTGATTGGAAATTTGTTTGTTATGATGATCTTATTTCAATCGTGCCTATTTATTGTAGAATAGAATGGACTAAAGCCAGAAATATATATGTATTACTTTTCGCTATACATTACAATATTTTTTTCAAATTAACCAGTGTAATCAGTAAAAATAAAGTACAGTAAGAATAAATAATAATTCTCTTAAAAGACAAATTAAATAATCTGTATACAAGAGAAAATGTATATTAAAAACAAAAAGATTTGCATTATACATACAACATATAATCCCTCTAACTTTAAGAATAATATGTTTACGTATAATATTATTAATTAATATATCGTACAATATTTTCCTCTTAATTTTAGAGGAATTCTCTTGAGGCCATGTACAAGAATAAAATCCTCTAAAATTCAGACGATTCCGCTTGTTCTGAAATTACGTTTTTTTTTTGGGTGTACCTTCCTGTATTGTTTTATATTTCTGTGCACGCTATTTCATCCCATTAGAATTGTTTCAACGTTTTCATTCCCGCTGAAACCGCCCCTCGCGCCTCCCGTTCACCCCCATCTCCTCTTCGTCTTCCTCCCTCCACTTCTCCTTGCTCTACGTCTTCTCGTTTCATTCGCTTTATTATTTATTCAACGTGACACGCCGCCCTCGAGTAACGGTTTTAACGTCGACAGCACCGCGAAGGATCGACCGTGGATAGGGATAATGAATCGATTGTAATTAAAACTGAGTGGCCGAACGTGGCGAGAGGAGTCATCGATCCATTCTTGTGTTTTTGTTCCCAACGGCAGGGAATAACGCCGGAAAGATTCTTTTATAACTGCTCCGCCGACTTATCACCGCGCGGCGTGTACCTTAATCCCGAATACATTCTTGAAATTCCCCCTCGAAGGATGTGAGAAGAATCTACGTTAAACAACGACTTGCCATAAGAATCGTGTACACAATACATAATGCCGTTTGTTGTCTAAACCCCACCCTCTCTTTCTCTCTCTCTTTTTCTCTCTCAGAATTCGATCTTACGAATTTTCCACAACTGCGAAACGCACGAATATTCCTGTGCTCTCTAGGACCGCATCTGCGTACGTTGCTGTCGAGGGATAAACGTGGACCTCGAAGCGGTCGTGATTTAATTCGAAGGATGCATCAGGACGATAAAAGCGCCACTACTCTTTAGACGTTATATCCGCTCTCCTTCCTCCTAACGGCCGCCGAGTGCCGATGCTCTCGAGGCTTAGGGCGGAAAAAGCAATGAGTACTCTGGTCTAGTTGGAGTTTGGCACAGCGACGAAGTTGCTGAAACGAAGTTAAGCCTCTCGCTGAAATTCCGGAGAAGACGTAGACGTTTTCAAGAGAGAGAGAGAGAGAGAGAGAGAGAGAGAGAGAGAGAGAGAGAGAGAGAGAGAGAGAGAGAGGCGTCACGCCGCGCGCTCGATATATCGCACGGTCGGACGGCTACTGGCGAGGGAAACTTACTTTAAGGCACTCGTTCATTAATTAGCATCTTCCAGGCGCTATTTTCTCAGCTGACGCGGAAGGTTATTATTACCCTTCGAGTGACGTAATTCGGGACGATCGGTCGGCCGGAGTCTCTCTCTCTCTCTCTCTCAATATTCATCCGGCAGCGACAATGAAGAAAGCGCGGATTATCGCGCGTAATGCAGCTCCCGTCAGCTACGTCGCGCGCCAAATTGTGCAGACGCTATTAAGAAGGATGTCGATCGGTTCGCAGCGCTGCTTCGATTAACACGGAGGGGAGCGCTCATTTACTCTGTACATGCCCTTTGATATCTCGCGCTGCGATGACAGCGAAATCTGGGACGCCGGCTCGCACACTTCGTTATTATCAAATTCAATTACGCTTAAGTTTAACTGGAGAAATTGGATCTCGTCGCTGGCGAACGGTAAATAAGAGAGCCCCTGCGTTGATCACGGTTCATGTGCGACGTAGAGTAAATACGAGCGTGTTTGCACCGCTCAAAATTGATATGTTGACACCTCTCTCTCTCTCTCTCTCTCTCTCTCTGTTCACTGAGCCGTAACGCGACGAAATCCTTCGTATTTTTCATAACGAGGTATATACGAAGATATCTTCGTCAACTCGCTCGCGCTGGTCCGATTCGCGTTACAGTTTCGCGTGACGTTTCGAGATTTTTCTGTACTGTTTAGCCTTTTCTTCAGTCGCGCAATCGAGGATACTGTCGACCGCCTGTATTAGTAGACAACAGACCGGGTACACTTGAGCACGAGCAAAGTGCACTCGGCTTTGAATGCTGCACTACGTGCAGCTAGAAAGCGTTTGCCGATGGTTCGTTATAACATCGTAACAGAGAGGACCGTCCCGCCCCACGAATTTAACCTTCATCGATCCCATCGCTCATCGTTCGGGATTAGCCGGCTAAATGTTCCCGGCGTTGAGTGTTCTTAAAAGCTCGAAGTTGCTGAAGAAGAAAATATCATCCTTTGTCCGCGAGGAAGAGACACAGGATGTTTTCAATATTGCGGCTAAAGACTCATCTGGGCGATACAGCTCGCGAAAACAAATTAAAGTACTCAGTAAACGTCGCGCGCAGATTAATCGTAATATTTTATTCTTTATCCTGCGAGCCCTTTATGAATCATTTCGTAATCTGAGACCGATCCGCAGAAATCGCCCAACCGTATCGCGATCACAAATTTATCAATTTCTAAAATGTTGTTTCTGAAATGACGAGACATCCTGTGGATTATTCTTTCACTCCGATCTACAGCAACAATATTAAATACCCTTCATTCCGCACTTTTTACAAATGACCATTAATAATTATTTTTATGTGCAGGATTGATCAAGGAACACAGGACAAATTTTTTTTTAAATATTTCACTTATACTTTTTTTGAAAAATAATTTTTTTTGTCACTTTGCATATCTGCGAAACTAGCGCACTAGACTGGTGGCCGATTCTTTTTTCCCGCTTAGTCTATCCACATAAGCAAAGCAATCGGCAATGTTAAACTCTGACTGACAGCAGAGAAAATCCAGTTCAAACTCTGCTTTGCAGATGTGCAAAGCAGCGCAATGAAGGGTTAATCCAATTTTGCGATGGAGGCGCGACGATTATAAAGGATCCGAGCGATTCTATCGTGAATGAGAGCGAGAGTCAATGATAAAAAAGTGGACGTGCGTGTCGAAGAGAGGTTGCTCTTCGTTTCGCGTCTCGCTACGAACGACTTATTAGCGAGTTATAGCCGCTTGAAGCCGCGCCATCGACAGCGGCTGTCGGCTCGGCGTAGCGTCTGCTCTCACGCCCCTGTCTACGGTTTTCCGAGCAGAAATCAAATACGGCAATTTGTTATGCCTGATATGGCATGACTACACTAGGAAAAAAAATGTATCTCTAATAAAACTGTTTAGTATGGGCATTTTTTAATAGCAACTAAATATCTTGTTTCATATAACAAAATATTTAGTTGTCTCAACTAAATATATTTTTCTGCTTTGTTCTCTGGACCAAATGATTTTGTTCTTAGACTTCATATATAAAAATTGAGCATTTTAGTTATTTTATTCATAAAAATTACATAATAACGAAATATTATTTTACATAAACATAAAATAATGCCCAATGGATACTATTTTGTCTTTCTGTGCACTAAAATTTA